TTCGACTTTTCCTATTTCCTCTTGCACTTTCCCCTTGCGCTGGCGTTCGCATCGTCCGAGCCTTGGGACTCGGAGTTTTCGATGGCATCAAAGAACCGTACAGCTTATGGATTGTTGGAGCTCGACTATCCGAAATCCCGAAAGAGATCGTCAAACTCTGGTCGTTTCGGAACCCCTGCGAAGAAGGTCAAAACACCTAACACTAGCAGTAGTACACGTACATGTAGTGAGGAGCCTCAGGCTCTCGATGTGCCGCAGCAGCTAAGTCCTCTGATACCGTGCGAAGAGGAAGTCATCCCTGTCGTGTCGGCGTCATGTCCTCAGTCAGATATACTTGCTGGAAGTATCTCCATTTCAGAGGATGCTCAGGTACCAACAAAATCTCAGCCAAACACCGTCGCTAAAGTAAATAATTAATAGATTGTAAATAAAATGGAACAAACATATTTTGTCACTGTGCGTTTCCTTTTTTGCCCACATTCACTAGGAGGCAGCACAAAGTCAAACTGTAAGTGATGACGCTGGATGTGGAGAAAAACCCACCATACAAAGTAATGCACTCAGTCCACCATCAGACATGGCCGACACGAGGTCATCGGCAGATTTGCAGAACGAACTAGAGCAGCTTAAAGCAAGAAATAGTACCATGCAGAATCTGCTTTTATCGGCTGAGCAGAAATTAGAAAGGCAGAAGGAAAGAATCAAGAAACAAGCCAATGCTCTTCGCGGTGCCAGAAGTGCAGCAACGAAACACAAAAGGGAACGCCATGAAATAGAGAAGAGAATACCAGACACAAAACCAATTTGCATACGGTCGAGCTTGATGGACGGTACTACTACGAGCACACACACGCCAGACTTCATGGCACAGGCACGGTTTATGAAAATGGCATGCTTGCTAAGCAACCAGAAGATGGCACAAGCATTGTCACTGTCACATGTATTGCTAACAGGAAAAGAGCCAACGGCAAACTTGGGTACCTCAGTCTCTCCATCGACAATTGCTGATTGGAATGTCTTGCTAGCAGAAGTTGACAAAGCGCTGCTCCAAGAGAAACTGGCCTCTAATGTTTACGACACGCACGTCTTTGCTGACGACAGCAACAAACGCGGTGAGGAGCGCCATATGGTTGGCATCCACACGTGGTGCGATAAATTGCAGAGCCCAATTGCTTATGTCCTGGCAAACACAATCGTAGCATCAGGGAGTGGCCAAGACCAGGCACAGGTCGACCACCACATTGTGCATGATGTTTACAAAGTTCAAACCATTTCAGCGGTCATTGGAGACAATGCATCAACCCAATCAGGAGCAAAGAAAGGACAAGCTGTTGAGCTTGGCCGCATGTTCGGCAACACCACAGTGTTCGTGGGATGCTATCCCCACATACTGAACATTGCCTTGCGGAATGGCATGAGTGAAGGGCTGGGACAACGCGGAACCATGATGGAGTTCAACCTCTTCCAGCTTCACTACAAGGTCGGTTACATTCACCACCAGAAACCCACCTACTACAAGGCCTTGTACGTTAGTGAGCACATCCTGCCGAAGCCACCTCCACTGCCGCAAGAATTCGTAGAAACGAGGTGGAGCTACATCCACGCCAGCCTGAAATGGTGGGCGAAGTATGGCACGGCATGTGTGAAGCTGGGGAAGAAGATGCTGGAGAGGTTGCCGGTCAGTGAAACTCACTATTCCATATGGAGCAACATCGTTGAGATGGCAGCCAATGACCGGCTTGCGGCGCAACGGACGATGCTCCTGGAGTTGCTGGATCGCCTGATAATGCCCGGACTGGAGAAGTGTCAAATCGGTGATACCGAGTTGAACTTCAGCTCCGGGTATTTGGCAAGGATGTGGCCAAGGCAAGTCACTGCTGACATCAACATGGCACAGCTGATGCTGGAATACCCAGCCTTTGCACTGCCACTGACGGAGAATTCCAAGGCAGCGCTGAACGATGGTGACCAGGAAATATTCTCCTGCACACACAAGGCAATGTTCACGGCAGTGAAGGATGCGCTCGTGAAGCATGGCTGTCGGTGGCACCATTTCCCTCTCCTGTTCGCTTCTGGAGCAGACACAGAAACACGGCATCTGTTCTGGCGGGCGGTCTTACGTGTGCTCGGAAATCCAATTTCGAACATCCACACCTTCACACACGGTGCAATGCCATCTGTAGCGGCATCCCAGACACCGCAGTATGCCACATCCCTGTACAGTAATCTGGTTAACGCTGCACTGAAGCTGAAGTCCGTGGAGCATCTTGTTGCGGCCTGCTGCAAGGAGGGAATCTTGGACCGCCAGCAGTATCTTCTTGGCAGCACAAGCCAACGGTGGTTCCAGGAGTTTGAGCTGTTGGCGCTAGTTGCGGGAGAGGCAGCCGAAATGCAGTTGTGGATGCAGCGTTGGCCCATTCCCGATGCAATGGCAACTGAGATCCGAGCACTGGCGGACTGCAGCTCTGGTACTGTGCCTACAAGCACCTCCGAGCCTCACCTTTGGCAGTGGCACAAGCAGCATGTCTTCGCCATTCCGGTGAATAATGTCATCGCAGAACGCCAGTTCAATGTTGCGGATATCTACGTCCATCCGAACGAGTCCGAAGCGTCGAAGCAGGCCACACATCTGTTTGTAGAGAATGTGCTTCACTCCACAGCAGATCGACTCCAGCTCTACAAGAATCTCTCCGCAGGTGCTCGTACCACAACGCGAGTTACCAAAGCGTCCATGAAGCACGTCAGAAAGCAAATGCTGGAATACTCAAGCACCATCACGGCAGAGCGTCTTCAGCAAGCCAGAGAGACTTTGAGGAAAACAGTATCCAGCGACCACTCTGGTAGAGCTCTGACAGCACCTGAGACCTACAGGAACGCCCTGGAGCGCCACAAGCCTCGACAAGACCACGAGCAGAGAATGATCGCCCTGGAGAAGAAGGGCAAGTGCCACTCCGTCCGCCATGATCCTGGCCGAAAGAAATCTGCACAGGCCAACGCTGCTGAGAGGAGCTTCCCTGCCTTATCCGAGGAATGACTCCCTGGCCTGCTGGAAGGTGAGTACAGCGAATCATTTTGTTGTTGTTCTTGTTGCTGCTGTTTTGGTCAAGACATAATTATATTTTTGAATTTTTGGTGCTGCTTTTGCACTTTTGGCGTTCTGCGCCCTGAGTGGCACTCACTCAAAAATGTCCACTACATCTCATTCTTGGCGGATTTTGATCATCTATGGCTTATTTTTTTCAGCGTGGAATTCTCCAGACATTTACCGATCACTTTTCCGATTGCTGAGCCGAAATCGAAGCCAAAACGACCAGACTTTGGCTAATCCGTGCCGGAAAACTGAAGGGAAAATGGTGAAACGCTGCGGTAGATCACTGAGTTTGGGGGTTTTGAATCAGCACAGCGAATACCAGCTTCGTGGACATCAGGGCCGATGTAGTGGACTGGATCAAAGATTTGAGAATGGAGGAGAATAGAGGCCTGTGATTGGTCACTTGTCATCACGTGACAATCGCGCAAAGCCGTGCGCGACTCCACGCTTTTGTATTGGACTGTGAGCCCTGAAGTTGGAAGGCTGTCGGTTTGCGCATTCCAGACGTGATACAGCTAAGCATCAGGTCGTTGAATGTCAGTATCACATGATCATCAGTCAGTGTTGTGCTAATTGTTGCACGTTCTGACTCACCGGTATCCTGCCTATAATTGTTAGTGTTGGACAAACAACGGATAACTTGTATACCGTTGGTTCTCTCTTTTTAAATATGTTTTGCTTTTTCATTAGCTGTTGCACCACAGGGATGTCATCCTTTTGATGTTTGTGATTGCCCATACCGGGTCAGGGATCCTAGTGAGTTCCTTACCCTGCACCCGGGAGTAATATACACTGGGCTTGTATGACTCTCAGTCTCTGCTCAGCACAGTTATAGCAGTTCTTCATGTGGCTGGGCCTCCACTGAAGTGGATCACAGTACAGTACAGGTACTAGCTGCTTGCTTTTGGAAGCCATAGCCGCGGCAAGCCTCGCTCAAAAGTATTAGAATAGGATTTGGAGCCAACGTGTTGAGTGTGCGGTCGCAGCAGGGAGCCATACGAGTCATACCCAAACCATGCTGGTTTGGCCAACCAGATGTGGGTACAACTCCTTGGGTTTTAATACAACGGCATGTGAAGAAACTCAACAGGTGTCACAGTTTACGAGTCCAGTAACACCTGTCTAAAACGACCGCTCATGGGACTGGTAGAAAAATGGTCACATTGGCCAGGTGGTCCTCTTAGTCTTATTAAAGTTTTGTATGTCACTTGACTGCAATCACTTCGTGTACATGTGATTGATCATTCAGAGAAGCTATTTTCATTATTCTATTGATTTGGAGAGACTCCCATGATAGATATCCATTTACCTCTGGAGAATCCGTAACATGATAAGCGATACAATGCGAAGTACCTCACACTGCACACACCTTGCTATTTGAAGTGTGTAAAGAGCATAGGTGCGGGTCCCTGCATCAATGGTCATGATCAAGCAGTGATGAGCACGGCCGCCAACAAAGTTTCATGTGCACCTACAATTGTAGAGCTGTGATGCTACCTTCTGTACACTTCCTGCACTGGTGTGTACAGTGAATTGTGCACAGGCAGGGTATAATGACTGTGATCTCGGGCAGGTGGTCACCGTATCCAGGTTATTTTGACTGGGGCGATCATTTCATCATGTGTAGCCAGCTTTCAAAGGTCCAAACCAGGGCTCCCTGCTCCAAACAGACCAATTTGTCCAAAGGGCCTATGACTATGGGTACCCATACTAGCTGGTTGATACCAGCACCCACACCCACCCAGCACAGCACGCACTCATAACGTTACTCGCACATGTATGCCTGGACATATGCGCAGTCCGGGGCAAGTAGTTACTATTGGGATGAGTGCGTGGACCATTGGGACCCTTCTTGGTACGGGAGTTGCCGTACCTGGCCTTACAAACAACTCAATAGCCGTCAGCACTGTTCAAGATGCATTCAAGTTAGCATCAAGATGTGAAGCAGTGTGTATACTGTACTGTATACAAACCACAGCTAGCTCTAATCAAGTGATACAGATTTTGTTCACGGACAAACGAAAGAATGAGATAGAAAAGTGAGAAAGTCGTCACCTAGACAACTATGGACTGCCGAAGAGCAGAATCAGAACAGAAAGGGAGCAGATAACTTAACAGAAACATAAAGGGTAACAAGTACTCGTCTCAATCTAAGTAAAAAGAAAAAAAAGAAGAACCCTATAGCACAGCCTGGTGGTGCATACAATCTAAATACTAGGACCTTTAAAATTTGCCAAATAACTAGGAACTAAACAAAGTATGTCAGAAACTACTGGCGTGAACATATCACACGGCCAGACAACTATAGTCACCTGTTCCTCACGACTAGTGCACGCAAAAGAGATTCCGGATCAATCGTCATCTTGATGGCCCACAGTGAAAAAAGACCACCACCAGCACCACGTACCACCAGCTGCAGTGCACTGTTCACAATACGACAGCAACGGATGGCAAGAAGTGCACAGATCTACTATAACTATAAGCCCTCATAGGTCGGCTCCTGCCGGTACAGGAGTGACTGCTCATCTCGCTCCTGTCGATGAAGTTTTCGGCGCATGCGATAGAAAAGAACAGTACTAATGCCAACAACCAATATGACAGCTGTCACAACAATTCCTGTCAGCACGCTGCTCATACTGCACCCGGTTTTGCCAGAATTCAGCACCATCAAAGTTCCGCAGTAGTGCGGCTCGACACTATTGGCTGGACAGTAGGAGTCGGGTGGGCATGCTACTGGCTCTACTGTACCACTGTGTGGGCAGTAAAAGGAAACACGGCAGTCCAAGCATTCCGACTTGCCATGGAAGGGCTGAAATTGTCCTGCCGGACATTGTTGACAGGATGCTTTCTGAGGCCCATCCTGATACGAGCCAGGTGGGCAGAGTTTGCACTTTGTGCAGCCTAGAAAGCAGTACGACCCTGGGTAGCATGCATCACAGCGACTTCCTTGAACGGGATACATCCCAGCTGGGCACATTACGCATGCTGTGTGGTCCGTATTGCTAATATCGGGAGGCGGGCACTTTGAACAGTTGCTACACCCGGATTTTGGACAAACTTGAGCGTTCGGGCAAACGTCGCATGCTGACTGGCCTGGCTTGGGGGAAAACATGCCCGGTAAACACTTCTTGCACAATGCACTTCCCTTCTCCAAAGCGAAATGCCCGGGCACGCAACGCCGACATGACACCTGACCAGATTCATCTTGAAATGTGCCCACGGGGCACTGTACACAGTGCGTTTGATTAGTTGCATTCTGAAATGAGCCCAGTTCACACAGTGAGCAGGAAGCCTTGCCTGTTAGGTTTTGAAACATTCCAGTTGGACATGTTCTACATGCCGTTTGGCCAGTTTCATTTTGAAACATGCCAGCGGAACAATTGGCACAGCCAGTGTGATTGCTGGCGTTCTGGTATGTGCCCTCCGGGCAGATCAAGCACACATCTTGCCCCTTCTCACCCTGCACCATGCCCGGTGCACACGCCATGCAGGATTCCTGACCAGTGTCATTCTGAAATGTGCCTTCCTCACAGGGCCTACACTGGGCCTGGCCGCTTTCATTCTGATACATACCAAGCGGGCATGGGATACACGCGGTCTGCTCCGTGCCGTTCTGATAAGTGGCAAGAGGACAAGGCATACAGGAGGGCTGGTTCGTAGCATTCTGATACATGCCAGCATGACATGGCTTACACACAGTACAGTTGTCAGGGCTCACGCAGTAGGATCCAGGTTCACAGCCCGGCTGCCCTACAAAGTCAATACTGTCAGCCACACTCATGCTAGGGAAGGCTAGTAGTAGCAGCTGAGTGAGCAGTAACATGCCCACACATTCCAAGAGGCAGATACGTCTAAAAGGTGTCTTCATCGTAGCTAGCTCGGCAAAGATCAGAAAAACCAACTCATTCCAACAGGATCATCCAAACGAAGACTCAGAAAAGAGAAGCATTCACGGCTTGCAGATACTATTCGCTGTTATAATACGATCCTGAAAGGGCGATGGTCTGTTGACAGGTCCGGCCGGAGAAACAATATTGTTCTTCAACAGGACACTAGTCCAGTCACCAGATCGAGAAGGTAGAATAAGTTGCAGCAAAACACCTTTAGCGTCTACCGCTGTATAACAGAACAAAGACTCTTCAGCCAGCTCTTCAACAAAGAAAAGGAAGTACAGTACTCTTTGTATTCGTAACACAGTGCAAGCACACAACTGCTATGACCAGATACAGATGACAGCTCGGCTTCCTAAAACGCATGAAGAAGAGGAGCCTGATTTCGTTTGACTTCTAACAACTGTACTACCACTGTATACTCATAGTGAGTGCACAGAGTTCAGCGTCCTGCTTGAGCTAGCTGTCACCAGAAAGACAGACTCAGTCAATACAATACTTTAATCACTAGCTTTCAAGGAACATTTCCACTTATCTTCACGACTTAGTCATGTTACTTGTTGTTGTTCAGGAATCTTTTGTCCTTTTTTTCATTGTGTCAACGTCATGATCATCATTACGTACACGTGTTTTCTCTCTTTGACGTAACGCTGTTCGATCACGTGCACTTGTGTCGTAATCATAGACATAGCTGCTGCATGCATGCACATGCAGAACTGTTTCATAAATGTGAAAATTTGTTGTTGGGCTTGGGAGTTTGTCTTCGAATTTATTGATGTGCCTGGAACAGCCAGGAAGAATCATCTTTCCGAAGTCAAGCAGTTTTTTGGCTGGTTGTAGATGGTTTTAGTCAGTCCAATTTTGCCTGAACTTCAAGATGTGGCTTAGATCAGCTGGACACCTCAGCCGACTGAGGTATTTCTGCTCTTCTGATTTGAATCCCATACGTTTCACGTGATTAGCAGGACAGTGCGACCAGTACATGTATTCGAAGTCAATATTTTGCTAGGGCATGGTAGAGAGAAATGTATTCGTTGTCCTCGATGTTTATTGTCAAAACAAATTTGTTAATTAAAAATTGAAATCCACTAACTGACTTTGAAAACAGTAAAGTGCACATGCCTCAGTACATTGTACAGAATGTTTTAAAGTCTTTGAGATCAGGTCAAACCAAAGTCAAACCAAAACTCATTCTATGTCCCTTGGTAGCTGTTGGTATGGTCTCTACTAATGACTGCGCAATGAACATTATCAAGAGTACATGAAAACCAGAGTGTGCAGCTTGGATGGGTTGCTGTCACGGCAGAATTTCGTGATTGCATCATTTTAGTGATGTAGTGCGTACAAGCAGGTATCTTTCTGCACAACTGTAGCTCAGTTGTACGCACTACGCCATTTCCCGCCTCAGATCTGCGCCAAATATGATGTAATCACGGAATTCCGCCGTTACAGACACCCATTGTAGAAAAAGTCCCAAGCTGCACACTCTGGTTTTCATGTACGCTTGACATTATTTATCTCCATATTGTGATTTTTGTCTCCTTGTCAACTTAAATAATCACCATCAAGGTATCTTGGTATCAGCTATTCAGTTTTGACTATACTGGAACCCCCCTGTAAAGATCGCTGGATCCGCCGCTGACCATTTCACACCAAAGTATCTGCGTTTATCAACCTTGGGGTAGTCAACCTGATGTGTTGGGCTTTTGGCATCGAACCTACATTCACCTACTAGAACCGACCATCAGTCAAGATCAATTTTATTTTTTCATGCCAGGGTGCTTCATTCATCAGGGTTTTCAGATTGATTTAAACTTGGTGTGAAATGGAGACAATATGGATAGCTTCTACGGTGTATTTCGAAATGCATGTATTAGCTTGGAGTGGCACGAGAGTTCAGTGCGGACTTCCAGTGTGCCCAAGTCATTGTTTGAATATGCAAACCACTGGGCAAGTTTTCAAGAGCACTTAGACAGTGCAACACGCACACCCGCTATCAGTAAAGCAGTATGCATGCACAACCCAATCTCTGAAAGGGCATGTTGAAAGTCGTGAAGTATGGACTATACCATGAGTACGAGGGGTATACCACCTGATGTTTTCACGAGTGCTTTAGCACAAGGGAAAATATGAGGCACACGGATTGGATAAAATTGGATAATGCATCTTGCGAATCTGTAGTATAGTGTTGAAAAGCATGGTGTTTTTATTGTGCTTTGACCAGCAGTGTTCTGTGGCCTTCACTGATGTAGTTACACATCATTATTGGTATTTTTTCATGGTGTACATGTGCCCATATCATCATCATGATTTTGATCCCAACTTGTTCTCGTGACATTCTTTGATATTTACTTTTTTTTTTTTTTTTTTTGTTCTTTCAGTGCTGTCTCTCGAGTTCGCTGCCTGCCACCACGCCGATTCTGTAATGCTGCAGCTCAGAGTGTTGCAGAGAGCAATGTAGTCTCTGAAACACGTAAGTCACGTTCTCCTGGATTCTAGGCATGATATGAAATGTCTCCAAAGGTCCATTGAAAAAAGTACCAGTGTCTGTGATGTATCTTTCAGTGCTCCATTGAAATGATTTGTTTCGTGGATGTAGCGGATGTAGTCTATATATTATACGTATACATGCTCTCAAACTAGTCAAAATACATGCATTAGTTATCACACTTGGAAAAGAACCAGTTTCAGGCTCCTCACAATCAACATTTTCAATACTGTTCCGCTAGTACTTTCATTGCCTTCTCATTAGGTGGAACACGGGCACAGCACAAGAAACTGAACAAGCTCCATGGCTTTGAGAGGTGATGAAACAGCGCAAAGAAGAGCTGCGAGAAACGAAACTGTAATATGTGTAACCTCATACACATAAAAGGAATGACAAAAAGAAGGTGCAAGTGTGAAGAAACCAAACAAGCATATGATGCATTGTGACAACAATACACAGCCGCGCTTGTTTGCTTTCTTCACACTTGCACCTTCTTTTTGTCATTCCTTCTATGTGTATGAGGTTACACATATTACAGTTTTGTTTCGGACTATTTTTCTTTGCGTTGTTTCTATCACTTCTTTGCTGTATAAAATTCATCTTGCTTGTTCAGTTTCTTTTTGCCTGTATTCCACCTGATGAGAAAGTGGGTATGATCCTACCCTAAGTGCCATTCAGCCTCAGGTGATGTCTTTGTTGTGCTGTGTCTTCTTTCAACACAAAGTAGTCATCATTAGTCCCGATCTGTTCATGTATGTTGTGGTGACTTTGTGCATGTTGGCTGCATTCATTGTGCGCCATTGTTCTGTTCTTGTGCCATACTGCAGAGACCAAGTATCCGGTAGGCAGTAAACACCATGGTTATACCGTATCAAGGGTAAGAGCTTCATCTAGCTGTGTGTATGTGTGTGTGCATGCATCCACAGGCACTTGTGCATGCCTGTGGGTAGGATAATTATAGTGACAATAGTTCCGTTCATAGTAACAGGTGCACAGTTTGTCTCCTTTCCTGGCAATGCCGAGTGTCTGGAATTTTCTTGCCACCATCGGGCTTCTCACCACGTATCGCTTCACACGTTTGCTTATACATATATTATTCTCTAGAACGGAGTATTGGTGTCAGCCAGAGTGATGGGTGTATTCACTATTCAGCCATTTTGCTTACCCCTATGTGCTGGTGCTGCTGGTGCTGCTGCTGTTGTCGTCGTCATCGTTGTGGCCGGCATCATTGTCGGCGTCGTTGTCGTTTATTGTTTGTCATTGTTGTTGTTGTTGTGACAGGTAGAGAATGTTCCTGAGCTCAGTCTTGCTGCTGTGCTGCTGACACACGATAAGACTGGCGCACAGCACCTTCACGTAGCCAGAGAGGATCGAAACAACGCGTTTGGGTAAGCTGTGAACTAGCACTACCGGGTTTCCAACTTTCCCTACACCATTGTATTGCTTATCTGTGTAGAATGTACATGTAGGTGGGTACTTGAGAAGTAGTTTTAGTACAACTGACAACATGTAATAATCAACTTTCTGGTGCATGTCATTGCAATTTACGTACAATAACTGTACTTCAGGTCGCGTATTAAATAGAGCTTGTTTCAAACGGCGTAGCAACCTGTACTACTTTGTAAAGATGAGACTATTCTTGACTCAAACTATAATTGGTTCAAAGTGTTCAAGCAGACATTAACCCACATGTCTGCATTCTACGTACTCCCGTAATATTTCACAAATTCAATTGCAAGATAATGTATCTTGCTGGCCAGTGAAATGGGAGCACTTTCTGCACCCTGGGTCAAGCAGTCTCTGACACCAGACAGCTCTGCCATACAACATTTCCTCGCTATAACATAATCCACTATAGCGTAATTTTCGCCATATAACACACTGTTCGCTTGGTCCCATCCATTGGGAGATCTGGATATAAAGTAAAACGTCGTGCAGTCGAATGTCTTTTCGGCCCTATCGTTTACTTTTCTTGAAATTCCTGCTCACAGCTACGTACACTTGCTTGCATTCAACCCGCATGTTCCTTCGTTCTTCCAACACAACAGTCGTGTGGACTTGGTTACGTGTGTAACTGTTAGTGTTCATGTACTGTACATGTACATATCATCACTGATGCGACTGCATACCATTGCTCCTGCGATCAACACGTGCAGTAGACACATTAGGACATGCACGCGCTTCCCAAGTTGATCAGAGTGGATCATAGCGATGCAGGTGTAACGAGTAAGCAAACGGCACCATTTTGACAATACTTGCATATTGGTGTACCCAACTCACTATCCTGAACTTGCCTATAACATAGAACTTGCCGTACCCCAGAGATTACGCTATAGTGAGGTCTGGTACAATGTAGTCATAGGAATTATTGCTTGTGTTGTGTTGATCATGTATTGATCATGTATTCTTGCCTGCGTGCTACGGTGTACAGTGTGCTGCTGAGGACTATTCCGTGTGACAGCCGTGGTGTGGCGCACATTCTCGAGCACTCCACTCTGTGTGGCTCACAGCGTTACCCATGCCGCAATGTCTTCTTCAGCATGCTGCCACGCAGCCTGGCCACCTTCATCAACGCTTTCACTGGTGAGACGTGCCATATGAATCTAGGCTGTCTGCTTGGACTCTGTCATGTGAAGCAGCTTGTACTATAGTTTGTTTATCAACGTGTTTGGTAGGTGTTGGGTAGAAATGGCCGTATGTCTGCGTTAGGGGTGAACCCATTACAGTTGCTTTGTCTATCGCTCAACCTATCCTTGTAACCTTTCGATTATTCTCGGTTCTTTCATGTCTATGAGAGAACTAGTGTGGTTGTATCTGTCTCGTTTGATTGCCTGCACCCACACTATACTGCAAAACATTTGTGGAGAGCTAGTCGATGGGTGGTTCGAATGCTGACAAAGGTGGTAGCTACAGCCCTTTCTTGTGATGAGTGACGAAAACTTGTAAACCATGAACCCCAAAAGTGGGTGGCAAATTTGAATATCAACGATCAATCCCAGTTGATTACATAACCGGTTTGTTGCAGTGATTAATTACTAAATTGACCTGTGTGATCACTTCAGTTATACAGGTCGCGCAGATGATATCCATGGCTGTGTTTCCATCATTGCATGTATCACTGTTGTTGATGTTCAGGGAGTGATATGACATTGTACCCATTTGCTACTCTCAACGCCAAGGACTTCAACAATCTCCTATCTGTCTACCTTGACTGCGTTTTCTTTCCAAGACTGGAGGAAGCTGATTTCAGGTCCGTGAGCAGTGATATCCCATCCAATGATCTTCTTGCATTGCTAGATGCGGATTTTACATTACCAACTGACAGATTAGTTACTAGGGACTTTGCTAGTAGTCTAAGTCTTGGCTTGGGTACTTGTGCTTGGCTCGGTTATGATAACTGGGTGCTCTGTAGTTATAAGGATACTAGAGAAGTATGGTATGATGAGCCGACCAATGGGAATTGACAACAACATTGAAGTGATTGCCGGCACGTGGGTCACCACTGCTCCGAGTGGCAGAGGGGAGGGGGGGGGGCATCGTTAATAGGTCCATATCTATTAGCTAAACGTTCCGTTGAACGGAAATTGTGTTGAATCCTTGGTGTTCTCCCGATTTGATGCTGTGCTGTTTTATGCAGGCAAGAGGGGTGGCGCTTGGAACAGGAGTCACTGACCGATGTGGCTAGCAAGCTGCAGTTCAAGGGCATTGTGTACAACGAGATGAAGGGTGCCTATGTAAGTCATGATTACTGCTCATGTGGGACTGGCGCAATGGACTAGGGCAGTTTGATAAATACTGTTATACTTACTGTGAAAAAGGAGAAGGACAAATTGTTTCGAGTTATGACTAACTGTCCACCAACGTAACCAGATCATTTACAGTCAGCGAGTGCGACAAAATGGCACAAAACTGACAAGGAGTACTGAGACATTCGGCGACCTGACACCTAGCTGCACTTACTGTGCATGTATTTTGTTGCTTATGCTGTTGTTGTTGTTGTTGTTGTTGTTGTTGTTGTTGTTGTTGTTGTTGTTGTTGTTGTTGTTGTTGTTGCTTGTGTATAGCATGAACAAGGGCGTATGTTCCAGGATCAGATTCAGCGCAACGTCCTACCCAGTAACACGTATGCACATGACTCTGGCGGTGATCCAATGGACATTCCAGACCTAACGGTAAATTCTCGCAATGCTCCAATCCATCCCTGTCGTTACCACATCCAACACAATTCCATTTGTTCTGCTTTGCTGGAGACGTGTAACCCCATTACCTGATGGGGAAATAGAATTCATCCATACTGCACACACTGATATAACCTTTTTGTTTGCTGGGGAAATAGAGCTCATCCATACTGTATACACTGGTATAACCTTTTTGCTTGCTGGGGAAATTGAATTCATCCGTCCTGTACACACTGATAACACGTCTTGATGTACAGTCGAATGTCACTTATCCGACCACTTCGGGAATCAGGCATGTTGGATAACTGGATAGGTTGGATAACTGTCATTAACTGATATCACTTTTATGTGCATATATGGCTGGATTTCACTGATTTATGTACACAATACCCAAATATATTCATGCATATTCATGAATTGCTCCATGTACACATACATGTTAGCATACTTGACCACATCTACTTCAAGTAATGCATATTACACCGTATAATATACAACAATTTTTTTAGAATTTTACTGTTGAGAGTCATAAAATTACCACTCCCGGGCTTGTCGGATAACCGACGTGCTCGGATAACTGGCGACCGGATAAGTGACATTCGACTGTACGTAACTTTCTCAAGTTTTGGTAGGCCTTCAAATAATTTCAATCTCAAAGCGCATGTGAACTTAATACGTTAATATCTGTACTTGCTTCAAGTAGGACTTCCAAAGTATGTAGAGAGACAATGATCAGTCCCTGTGTGTTGATCTGGACGTGTGGTACACAACATTGGATGAGCAATCACTTGTTTTTTGGATTGAGCAATGCGTCTACTGTATGCAATGTGTTGAAGTAGCAATCTCTCTGAATATTGTATTACAGGACTCAATACAGTGACACACCTCGGCTTGGTGCTGCACTGTTTGTACTGTTCTCTCTTTCTCTTCTCTTGCTCTGTCTCTAGTGGAAGCAACTCACTGACTTTCACAAGCGACACTATCATCCAAGCAATGCGAAGTATGTCATACCCTATGCATACGCACATGATGTACTGGAATCCGTGGTTGTCACTTGGTGTGCCTACTTGCATGTATGTGTGTGTGTGCATTCGTGTGTGTGGGTGTGTGCGTGTGTGTGTGTCCGTGTGTGTGTTCGTGCGTGTGTGTTCGTGTGGGGGGGGGGGGGGAGTAGCACACATGGAAAGTCCTGGTAGGTCTGTGTGTTGTCGTCATGACATTCCCAATAGCATCTGTTCATGATGGTATCAAGAGCCCATCAACCCCAGCGCAAGAGGACTCTGGCATGATCACCAGTATGCTTGAAATGGCATTTAGGTATACTGTATTATAAAGGTTGAGACCGAAGATTTATGGCTGGGGGACCGGCATAATATTTATATGTTGCCTTTCTATCTTACCGTCAATAATTGCAAGTTAAATACTTACATACTGCCCAGGGTGACGAGGATTACTCTCTATCCTCACTGCAGCTTAGTCAATGGTGCGTGTCTCTTTCTGGCAGGTTTTTCACGTACGGTGACTTACCTCTGGATAATCACCTGCAACGCATCAGTGACCATGTCTTGACGCAGTTTGAGCGCATTGAACCTCGCACGGAAGTGCCCAGCGAGGATAGCTGGACAGAGCCAGTAAGTGTCTAGCCAGTCTTTCAATGTACAGGCATGTGGCGTGTGAAAACCTGTTGCTGTATTCTTGTAGTTCTTTGCCCTTTTTAGTATGGCGACTCTCCTCTGTAGCCAGGTGATCATATTAAACAGTAAACACACACCACCACTGTCGCCACACCCACCACCACCACCACCGTCGCCACAACCACAGCCTATGATGCTACAGTGTAAATACTGTATCTCCAAATTTTCGCCCGGGGGGGGGTATTGCCACAAGTTTGTGTGGTTAATAAAGCAATGGGTCCGATTTCCTCTCTGAATTCTTATTTGTATGTGTTCATTCATATTTAGATGCGGAAAGTGGTAAATTGCGCTCCTGATCCCACTGCAACTGAGGGTGACAAGAAGGTAGTCACATCTGCCGTGGCGTACAAAGTCCTCAGGTAGCTTTGATAGCCGTGTCTTTCAATTCCTATCATGATTACTACATACTGTGGATCAATGAGATTGAGATCCTTCGTCATGCTCTTTTATACCCCCCAACACACACACACACACACACACACACACACACACACACACACACACACACACACACACACACTTTTCCGACGAAAAACAACAACAACGAGCACATTATAATCTCAGTCCCGTAGAGTATCACAGTACTTCATCCTTTGTGTGTCAGCAGCACAACACAGAACAGTTTACCTTCTTGCTTGAGTGCATTTTGCAGTCTTGTAGCTGTATTTGCATGTTGGTACACACCAAGGCACCGACTCCAGCCGAGTGCACTTCCAGTATGTCAGCTTGCTGACTTTCTTGCCTTGGCATAGTACAGAAATGACACGCATGACTGTACGTGTATCAGTATGTGTATGTGTGTGTGTGTGTGTGTGTGTGTGTGTGTGTGTGTGTGTTTGTGTGTGTGTGTGTGTGTGTGTGTGTGTGTATGTGTGTGTGTGTGTGTATGTATGTGTGTATGTGTGTGTGTTCATACAGTGGGTGCACAGAGCCGCTGGAGAACCTGACTATGTCCATAGTGTGCCACTTGCTGACAAGCGGACCAAACTCACCGTTCTACCAGGCGCTCATTGAATCAGGCATGGGCGATGCGTACAGCACAGGAACTGGGTGAGGATCAATGCTATCCAAGTGGCAGACTGTGAATGCACTGTATTGATGTACTGTTACTAGTAGTTGGTAGTCATTCAGAACTATCAACAGTGCTGATGGTGGATATAGCGAAGAACAACCTTTCTCTCTGTGAACTACCGTATTTTCCCGATTATAAGTCACACTTGATTATAAGTGGCAACCCATTCTCAGGTCTGAGCTAAATTGTTTCAATGCATTCACATGAGTAGGAAGTCACACTTGAATCGTGACTCAATTGTAAGTTGCACCCCCTTCTTTGCCCTTGACGTTTAGTGTAAAGAGGTGCGAAAACAGCCTTTCTACTTGTGAGCATGTGAACAGTACCTCATGTAGTAGTGTTGTGTTGTCACTGCCTGTGCCGGGATATCTCTGCTTGGCTCACATTGCTATGCTAAAAATCTCTGCTACTGCTAGGCTGTTTGCACGTCCTTCAGTCTTTTTTGTGTTTCTTGTTGTTGCTGTCAGGTTGGACTTGTCACCGCGCAATGGTATTTTCTCAGTCGGACTTCGCAACATTGCCGAAGAGGATACGGACAAGCTTGAATCCATCATTTTGTCCGTAATGGAAAAAGTAGCAGAGTGAGTGATGGCCATTGCATATGTGTGTGTGATTGTCAGCTGACTGAGTAATATTGCCAGGTCGCGTGTGTGTGCTATCACAATGGTGTGTATGGTCAATTGGTCATGCAGGTTTTGTAATTGTGTCGTTTTTCTCCCGTGTGCCACAGGGAAGGCTTCCCCATGGAGCAGATCAATGCTGTCCTGCATCAGCTGGAGATTGATCAGAAGCATGAAGAGCAGAACTATGGTGTAAATATGCTGTTGGTAAGTGGTACATGGACATGTGAGACTGCGTGCAAAACCTGTGCTGATTGTGCGTCCCCTAGATGCTGCAAAGTACTACGCCTGTATGGCACACAAGGAGCAGGAAGTGACCACTCCTGCTGCAAATGTCATGGCCGGAAAGAACCACACCAAGACGAAATACCGGTACATGCTTCTCCTACTAAAACACGGGCTTGTATATCCTTCGCAGCTAGTGACTCAAAACCTCACTTTTAAAGTATGTTCAGGCTTGGTGCATGACACAAGATTGTATTCTTGCCTATTTGTCTTCTTCCAGGAGTTGACAATGTCCGTATGGAATCATGATGGTGATGTTATCGGATCCCTGCGTAGAGGCGAACTTGTTGACCAATTCAAGGTAAGACGTGTACATGTATATTGTAGCAGTATTTGGCAGTTGTGATGAATGGGTTGGTTGGTCAAGATGTCTAGTGAGCTCCTTGTTACGCCCACCGTTCTCCCGACATGTATGCATAAGTGAATGCTGGGTGAACAATATTATAGTCATGGCCAAAGAAATCCGACCCAGGAGTCAAAGGTAGTGCTGAGTTTCCATGATTTCGGTTCCATCTTGCACGGTCCAAAAACCCATCCGAGGGCCGCAGGGACCGCCCGAGCCTTGGCACTGGTTTCGGCTCACTGGTCGGATTTCTTTGGCCGTGACTGTAGTAGCGGATTTGAAGACATACATGTAGTATAGAACATGCTGCTGTAGTGTTTACTGATCAGTTTACGAGTGCACTGCTCAGCTAAGCTGCCTGCACGTGTTGTCGTTTTAGACTGTCGCTGATATTTGTATTTGCGGACTTAGTGTCATGTTTGAAGAATAACCATGTGCTGTGCAACTCCATTGTTCAGGCTGCGCTAGAAGCCGATCCAGAATTCCTGCAAAAGAAGGTCCGCCAGTACTTTGTGGAGAACCAGCATCGCGTGACGCTGACAATGGTCCCTACTGTAAGTATGCCTTCGCATGCACACATGGGTGTGTGTACTGAAATATGTGTTTGTGTACATATGTGTATCCATGCGTGTATCTGTGCACATGTGTTGTTTTGTTGGTGTTTATTTGTCTACGGAGTACCCTCTCTGGTTAGTCTAAGAGCCAGGGCCCACCCCAGAAAGTGGACCACGTCTTCGCAGGTGTTCACATTCAGTAGGAAGGGTGTTGGACCTCATGGATGGACTGCAACCCTCCTTCTGAAATTTTATGCAAACTGTTCGCATCCATGTCATAACGAAACCTAATGTAGTTTTTTCTCAATTGTTTCTCGTAGGCTGAGTTTATGGGAGAACGGCGACTCTCTGAAGAGGCTCGTCTGCAGAAAGCATCCGAAGCGCTCTCAGAAACTGACCGTCAGAACCTTCTTGCCGAAGGTCAGTCCAGGCCTCTATATCTCATCTTTGTTTCAGGTCTTGTATTTATAGTATGTGTGATACACTTTTTGACTTGTTCGTAGACTCGGAATCTTGAATAATGTTTGCGACACCATGGATTATTTCCCTTTGGGATGTTCCAGGCTTGTCCTGTGCAGTGGAGATCAAAGAATGCGAGAAAAATCCCAGCATGGTGACCAAGTTCTTGTCTTATGTTTCAGTCTTTTAAACTCCTTGGGTCAAGTTGTACAATCCCATCCAGCCGGGTCTCATGGAACACATTCTTACTTTTCAGGCAAGCACATTTAAATTTCTCTAGCATCTGCTTTCTTGGCCGAACCCTCCTCAGCCCCAATCTTTCTGATATCAGAGAGGTTCAGCATCACGTAATTAGTTACTATGTAAGAAATGTAGTCGATCTACGGAAAGTCTTACGTACACTGCATGCGGATCTGTGTTCCACCATACGTAGTTTTCAAATCACATAGCTGCCCTTGGCAACTCGGAACGGGGCAGTGCACGACCAGGTCGACAGTCATACACTTGTACCCCAATCCACTTACGGAGCACCTCCGTTATCAGAGCCCTACCTACGTACTCTACGTAGACAATTTTCCGTATGTGGAGTACAAACTCGCGAATTCACGGGTTTTTCCCGCCCACTTACGTAAAGTTGCTCAAGTTTACGTAGTGCGGAATCTCTCTAAAGTTCGGTTTACCCAAGATCCTTTTCATCCTTTTCTGTTCAGCCACGATCATCAAGTTGATGCAGGTGGTTTAACCGTTTTGTATTCTGTTTGCTTGTTGGCCCGCATCAGGATTGAGAATGGAGAATGCCCAGAATGAAATCTCGGACGTATCCAGTCTGCCCAGCATCCAGTTGCAAGGTCAGTCAGTGTACCAAGTATATGATGTACCGTATTTTACCGGTTGTAAGTCGACCCCGGTTATAGGTCGACCCCCGTATCTGGAGGTCTCAATTCTGCGTTTTAAAGTTTTCACCCAACGAAGCACTACTAACCACTCCCTGCTACTAACACATCAACAAATCATATACACATTCCTTATTGGAGGGTGTAACGTCCCAATCCTTGAAAAAGGCCAATAAACTGGCAAAAATGTGTACATATGGTGCACTCGTGCATGCAGTGCAGGTCATGTTTTGTAAGATACTGATAGTTCCCAGTTATAAGTCGAATCCCGGTTGTAAGTCGACCCCACCCTTTCTCCTTCTATTTTTAGTCGTAAAAGGTGGACTTACAACCGGAAAATACGGTACATGTTATTTGTGGCAGGCATTAAGGATATCCTCAACCAATGTTTGGTGGCACACCTTGCTGACATTACCTTAGATGTATCTACAACAACCCAAGTGTGTAACTACATGTACAGTAAAACCTGTGAAGTCGACCACTCTGAGTCTGATAAGACGATCACCTGTCCCAGAGGTAGGCCCAGACAGATCCTGCCAGCAATTCTTTCGGCAAAATATCGAAGAATTGAAAAAGCGGAAATTGCCGGCAAAATCGGAGCAAAATATCGAGATGTTGGGTAAAATCGATGCCTGATACTTGGATTTCCTTGTTTCTTTCCCGCTCAGCATGATACACTGCCCAGAGCGAGATCATGTCACCGAAATATCACTGGGATTCACTGTGGATCAATATGATTTTGGAAGAACTCGGGGACACGTGTGTGGAAATCCGTGTTGAGAAACCGACCATGTGATTTTTATGAAACGTAGGGGAAGTGGATAAAATACACGTTTTTCCGGAGCGAAAGGGAGCAAAATATCGAATTTCTAGTGCCAGGCTCGGCATAATATCGAAGATTTCGCAGCAACATTTTGCGGCAAAATATCGAGGCGAGCGGAGTAGAATCTGTCTGGGCCTACCCAGAGGACCACTACAATTAAGACCAAGGAGTGCTGTTTCCAGTCCCCGGGATAAATAGACCATTTGTACACAGCAACCCCATTTTTGAAGATCCCTTGAGCAGTCACCTTAGATAGGTTTCATTATACATTGTAGTGTAGTTGTAATATTCCCAACAATGAACATCAATCGAATTGCTGCACTCGTTACCTTGGTCATGTGCAGTGACTTTTAAAATAACATTCATGAAACCAGGCCACTCAACGGGGCTCCCAGAACACAGAAGCAGTTCTGTATGCTAATTCTGACATGTTGTGTATGTCCTCCACTTCCATCCTCCATTAGACATTGACCGGCATGTCAAGGAGGAGGAACTTTCCACAGAGTCTGTTGGTAAGTCACATTTTATTGTTGCTTTGAAACGTACTGGATTGTGCGTATCATAGTAGCTGTGAAGTTACCACACAACACGCTAAGCCTAGTTGTGTGCATTTGCTCTTGTGTACGGTATACCAGTACATGGTTCAGCCTATCTAGCTCTGCTACTTTCTCACCTGATCCATACCGTTGAGCCCAGCTTTTAGTTGTTGTGCTTCAGTGCTGCTTTGGGCAGTAGCAGTCACATTCTCACATTCTCACTTCTCAGCTAGTGAAACCTAAGTTATATTAATTTTGTCTTAAGCTGTGTTCCCAACTGGCGCGTGGACGCGGTACGCTTGCGGTTCATGCGTGCCCAAACGCGCGCTCAAGCTTTCACAAAAAAACAGCAATCCGAGTCGTATTTAGCACGTGCGACACCTTCGAGTACTAATTGTTTGACCCCGCCAGTCAAAGTGACTGGCATGTACGCTGGTACGCGCCTGATACGCGCTGAAAATTCCAACATGTTGGAATTTCCATTTCGGCGCGTTTCCGTACGCATGGCGCCCTAAAAGCCAGCAAAAATACGCACAAACGCGTGGTTTCACGCGTACACGCGCCAGTTGTGAACACAGCTTAAGCGTGATGATTGAATTGGAATAAAAATTAATACTTGTCGCAATACTGTGTGTATACATTTGTATAGATGGAACATCTGTGCAGTACTGCCTGAAACCAACGAATGGACTCACGTACTACCGCCATCTATCTAGCATCACGGCTGTCCAGGCTGACGCTGTGCCCTATCTGCCACTGTTTTGTCACTTGATTACACGGTGAGTTCCTCTAGTAGCACAGTGTTGCTGCTGGCACCATAAGTTTACAGTTCTTGCCATTCTTCTGTACTGTACAGTGTGTATTGTAGTTGTGAGACTGGAGTGCTGTTCGTAATCTAGGCCTTGTTCCACTAGCATAGCATTTCTAAAGCCCTTCCTCTTCCCAAAGATGACATAATGTTGTGTATTTACGCAGAGGATACAGAAACAAACATGGTGCCAAGCCCTCGTAACTACCATACAGTAGAGAGGTTCCGCACAACGTAATTCTGTTTTTTTTTACGTTAAAAGCGTAGTCGATCTACGGAAAGTCTTACGTACACTGCATGCGGATCTGTGTTCCGCCATACGGAGCTTTCGAATCACGTAGCTGCCCTTGGCAACTCGGAACGGGGCAGTGTACGACCGAGGGAGAGAGTCATAAATTCATACCCTAATCCACTTACAGAGCACCTCCGTTGGTAGAGCTCCATTTACGTACTCTACGTAGACAGCTTTCCGTATTAAAGTGGAGTGCAAACTTGCGAATTCACGGGTTTTCTCGCCCACTAGCGTAAAGTTGCTCAACTTCGCGTAGTGAGGAACCTCTCTATTGTGACTGAATGCTTGTACATGACTGCTAGCTTGTAAGTTATTGTATGCGTTTGGTGTCATGGCTTTAGAAATCTTCGTATTCTGAGACTGGCTGCTGCTGTGCATGTTGCCCGTATGACTCTTTCACACATCCAGGGTTGCTTGTAACAACATGACTTACCAGCAACTGGCACAGGAGCTGAAGGAACACCTTGGCGGCCTGTCTGCATCTTGCTATGTGGCACCTCACTACATCGATGATCAATCCATTGAGCAGGTATGTACTTGAAGTATCTTGCTCCATCATCCATGGCTCTGATCTTAGGATCTCAGGGGGCCACCATTCATTTTGCTCATATTTCGAAGTAGCTTTATTAGAATCTCTAGGGATTCAACATTCCCTATATGAACATATGCCTCAGCAGCAGGAGTGTAGTTTGATAGTCCTAATGATTTTTGCCTTGTGAACATGCTGGTTCACAGGAAGTTCTGGTATTCTCAGGCATTGGACAAACACACTGAATGAATTAGTCTCAGGCAAAGCATGCGCCGCCTTGATGGCTGATAATGTACCTACTGTGCCAAAAGCAGCCAGTTTCTGGTGGACCTTCCAGACACCGTGTTTGAATTTTAGGGCAAGGGCAAGGTACCCATCTACTACCCATGCACTTGGCACTCTGTGAGTTAGGGATGGCGGCGGACACGCATTGCAGAGTTAATGCTGGTAGAATCTCCTGCAATCACGTAACACTAGGCTGTAAAGCTGTGACGTACTCTGAAGTACGCGATAGGCAGTAATGGCGTACTTAGTAACAACAGAACTGATGTGAGGACTGACACCGACGTTCGAGGAAAAACACTTTCTTTTGGAAACAGGTGTTAAAAATCTCACTGCATTCCACGTGTACTTCCATCATTGCTGTGTGTAACATGTTATTCATAGTTACCGAAGTAGATACGAGACAAAGAGGCCTTTCAGTTTGCATTAGTCGGAATTCAGCTGTGCTTCTCAGATGAATCTTAGGCCACAGAGTGCCACCGCATTACTTGTGCGTGGCTGTGTATGTTCGGGGGTTGTGGATGCACCTGTTGTTATTGTCTTGTTGCGCTGCTCTGTGTCTGTTTGTGACCACACACAGGCTATTCTGTTCCGAGGCTTTTGTCTGGATCGAAAGATACCGTACCTCTTCAGCATTCTGTCTGACATATTCTCCAAGTAAGTGATTTTCCCTGCACCACTACCGCTATACTCCAAAGTTATATTTATGGGATATTGAGCAATGAGCATACTGAGCTTCAAAGCTCTATAAAGGTTATGTGAATGACATCATGGCGGTGCGGTGAACTAGTGGATTCGCCTGTAGGTGCTAAGTACACAGCGTGAGTCAGCGATTTCACGTGAGCTAGTGCATTGCTGCACCGCGCCTGTTGCCACTCCATACCGCGGTACAAAGCATCTCAAACTGATGTTGTACTTGTAACCGCATAACCTCTGTCCTTCAAGTATCTGCCGAGAACTTTCGCTGGGCGTTTTGATTACTCAGTCCGCTTTGAACTTTGAAGATTGACTTTGTGAGCACTGTGAGCATGTATTCTCTCTTGTGTTCTTGTATGTACCACTACTACATTGTACTACTATTGCTGAAGCTTGAATGACATTCCTTGGAGTCTTTGTTATCAGGGCTTCATGTGTGCATGTAGCTCAGTGGCCTTTCCAAACGCCTGCTTCAGCTTTGCACGTATGCACACATATCCTTTCTTTGACTGCTCTCCGTATCTTGCTGGTGTGGTTGTTGCATCTGTGCTTTGTAATTTGTTGCTAATGTGTGTGTGCAGTCCTCACTTTGACGACGTGGCTCACATGAAGGATCTGATAAAGATGCGTGCTACATCCATCAAAGCCAGCCTGACACCGAGTGGTCACCACTATGCCATGGCATCCGCTGCCAGTTCACTTTCACCACATGGACGGTTATCGGAGACGTTTGGCGGCTTGTCTCAGGTACGGGGAGTTGAATACAGTCAACCTTGCGCATAACGACCCTTGATCGTGCATGAGGACAGTATGGTTATCCACGAGTTGTTTATGTTCATGTCTTCATGAGGTTGAAGCTTGAAAGTATGCAGTCCATTGGTCACTAGGTCTGAAGATTGTGTCGCTATTCATTGCGAGTTGTCATTATACCGGAGGTCGTTATTCATCAGGCTGGCTGTAGTATATGACCAATTGGCTGATATTCTGAAATTCTCGTGACAATGAAACGTGTAATTTCTTTGCTATGCTTGAATACACTGTAGTCATGGTAAAGTTGGCTTGCTGGGCTGGCTCTGGTTCTCATGTCACTTTCTTCACCAGTGTTGTTTTTCCTCTTCCTCGTTTCTCAGATGGCATTGATGCGGCAGATTGCTGATAGTGAAGATCTAACAGAAGTCCAGGAGCACCTCAGACAACTTGCTTCCAGTGTTCTGGACATTTCAGAGTCAAGGTAGGTTTGAAAGGGTTCACTGGTGCAATCTAACATCGATTTCTAACACCTGGTCAAGTTTTTTCCTCCACAACTTTGGTCTTCTATGATCAAGGACGTATCGAACTGTCTTATAAAGGCTGTCTCGAATAGAAGCCTGACCATCTGCACACGCGCCTGAATCATCGTACGCACGTCTAGTTTTGTAAAATACGTATACGTTTACATTCGGGGACCCAGTATGCCAATCTGGTACCAATGACCAGTTCCCATTACAACATTGTATTCATACATGTGTTGATCTAGCAGCATGTGTACCACTTGAAGGGCGTCAAGGGCCATGCAAGTCTGTGGTGCCAAATATGCACTTTTACTTGGGTCGGATGTGACCTTGCACAGCTCTACTGTGCCTGATTTGAATACATATGGGGCCAGTTCTCGCATCAGCTTGTACAGAAATAAGCCCAGTTTTTATACATGACCTAACGGTATGTGTGAGAGACATCAGCATGTATTGGTCTGGATGTGTTGCAGGGTGTGAATGATTTCATGTCAAACCTCTCCTGGTGTTCCGACTATCCCATGTGTACTGCTATATCCGTTCTTTCTAATCCTATCGCCTTGTTGTTTTCTCCTTGTCAGGCTGGCTATCAATGTGGAGGCTGCACAGCGTGATACTGTTGAAAACAGTCTATTGAACTTCTTGTCCGGGGTTCCGAGGGACCGCACTGACCTTGACGGTCATGTTCAGGTACTTACACCTCCCCTCATACGTATGCAATAGATGTACTTGTAGTACATGCATCACCATTTAATACTAGTGTACGGTTCACGCCAGCAGCTGTGAAATGCATGTACACGTACATGTAGTGCCGACGTTTCTCTCCTTTCTAAGTCCTTTCAACCTCCATAGCGCCTGATCAACATGGGCAGTGAGGCTGTAGGAAAATGATGGTGGGTGTGTATGCTTTGCAACCTTGATTGCCAGTACATATACATGTAGATACATGCCTACAGCAATGCTAGTAATAATGTTACCTGTACTTCAAACTTCAAAGAAAGCTATTGTGGAAGAAGAAGCAGCTGGTTTTCGGAGAAAGAAATTTTGTAATAATTATGTTGGCTGGCAGGGGAGAATTGTTGATAGGATTTGAAGCAGATTTGTGCACCTCTATCTCTCGCCCTGTGACACAACTGTGTGGTGATGACAGACGTCATTCATTGCCCAAGGGCAGGAACGTTGGAAAATTAATATTTAAATTATCCAATTGTGACCCATTTGTATGTGCGCAACATGTTATGCTGCTGTATATAAAATAACATGTATGGTCTGGTTTGTTTCAGTTTGGTAACTTTGTTGGCGAGAGTAAGAAGCGCTTGTTCTCGTCCAAGGCCCTGGACGTATCGTATGCAAGTCACTCTGTGAGAACTGTTCCGTACTCTCATGATGACCACAGCCAGTAAGTGTTGACTGTCTTGTCCATACAACTTTCTCTCTGCGTGTGTTTCACGCCTCCCATGACTGTTGTGGTGCATGTAGCGTGGGATGATGACTGGGTGTATTGCTCATGTAGACATGTGTTCCACGGGAAAAAAAGCAAGAACCCAGATTGGTTTCATCTGATGGGCTTTGTACTTTGAAATAAGGAACTCCCAATGACTGGAAGAATGAAGTTATGCATGACTAATAGACCCTGAGGTGTTCTGATTGTATATTTGCCACATGCATGTATTCATGTGCATTTGCCAAAGCACCGCAATCATGCTGATCACATCAGTATCCTAAGCTCCAACAAGTCTAGCTCGAACTGATGTACCTTAGGAACGTCCAGTTGCCTTAATTTGCTGCGACTAAGTTTTGTCATTTGCCATGTTATGTATGATTTCGCATATGTGTCTCTGCTTACGCGTGTGTGCGTGTGTGTGTATGTGTGTGTGTGTGTGTGTGTGTGTGTGTGTGTGTGTGTGTGTGTGTGTGTGTGCGTGTGTGCGTGTGTGTGTGTCCTATCTAGTCTTGCTGTCCTGGCGCATCTACTCACAGACAAATTCCTACATCGTGAGATCAGGTTGGTTGGACTGAATAACTGGATCATCCCCCCCCCCCCTCCCCTTCCATTGCGTTTCTTGCTCTGGCTTTGTTTACTCGAGTGTGACGCTGAAACTGTTAGTTATCTATTACTTGTATGTGTTATATCCTTGGAGTTGTGTATGCAGCTACCAGCACTCCTGTTACTCAATGTTGTTGACAACTCACGTAGTAGTCACTGTGTGCGTGCTTGCACACATGTGTTCGCGTGTACACACACACACACACACACACACACACACACACACACACACACACACACACACAAACAGAGAGGCAGAGAGACAGACAGACAGACAGAGAGACAGACCGAGAGACAGATACAGAGAGACAGAGAGAGACAGACAGAGAGAGACAGAGAATGAGAGAGACAGAGAGAGAGAGACAGAGAGAGAGACAGAGAGAGAGAGACAGACAGATAGACAGACAGACAACAGACAGACAGACAGAGACAGACAGGGAGGGAGGGAGTCTACAGCTTGTATACTGTGTACGTTATTTGCTGTATGTCTGTTATCTGCTGTATGCCTGCTATCTACAGAGAGAAGGGTGGTGCATATGGCGGCGGCTCTGTTATGAAGAACGACCATTTCACTTTCTATTCATACCGGTAAGCACCGTGTGATCTCTTTGTCACTTTTTGGATTGGCTTGGGCTTTGTCTTTTCCACTGCTACTTTGCAATGTGACGCCCATCTTCCTGTGTGCACATTCTAAATCACTAAAACTCACTCAGTGTCAGGCAGTTTTACTTTTCTACCAGAAATCCTCTATTGTCGAAGGTACTTTGTAGTAGTAATAATAATAATAATAACACAGATACGCAAACAACATGCACAGCCGTGCTATACATGCTTCCACTGCTGTTCTCTAGCTCTGTCCATTATGTATGTAGTAAAGCAACGAATAAAACTGTATGCGCACTCATATCACAATCATAGCAACAGTTTATGGATTCCAGCGCTATGAAAAGTATGATTGTGAATTTGTGATATGAGTGCGCACATAATTTTATTCGTTGCTTTACTAAGATAATTGTCTCCACGTCGCCTGTTCAAGTACTTTGTAGTAGAACATCATCGTCCGGTGCTTATGTGTGATGAATCCTGTTTCATGTCTGTGGTTTATTTGTTTTATTGGTCCATCTCCTAGTGACCCCAGCCCAGTGAAATCCCTGGAGAGCTTCACTAAGGCTGCAGAGTGGGCTGCAGAAGGTGCCTTCTCTGATACTGATATTGACGAGGCAAAGCTAGCAGAGTTCTCTAAGGTTGGTTTCTGATCATACGCGCTGTGCAAGTGCAAAATCCAATGTAACGTTATAGTTTTTGATTTGATTCCCGTGCACCAGGCCAACAGCTATTCAGCTTTGGAGCTACCTGCATGGCTGTACCTGCCCTTGGCCATGCTTGCTTTGTTTTTGTTTTTATTCTTTGTATAGGTATTGCTGTCTTGCTCACAGTGGGTTTTTTGTTTGTTTGTTGTTTGTTTTAATTACGAGTCATATCTGTCAATGCCAACCAGAAGTTGTGTTGTTTGTTCCACGTGAATGATCAAGAAAGACGAGTCACGAGCAGTGCTGGGTGCCACATGATTGTAAAATTACTCTTGTTCAATGCTAATGAAGACTGTATCATTGTGTAATATGTTTTGTGTGGCTTTAGTTGGACAAGCCTGTGCTGCCAGCGTCTCGTGGTGATCGCCAGTTTCTACGCGGTATTTCCGATAAAGCAAGGCAGATCAACCGAGATCGCATATTTTCTGTCACTCGTAACGACCTGGTGGATGTGGCGAAGCGGTAAGTTGTCCTGCGTCTCTCCGAATTTTAACTCATTTCTAATTGCTCGTTTTGCTTGATTGTCATTTCCGCAATATATCCACACCACCCCTCGTACAGCTGCCCCTTGTTCACTCGGTTCCGATCAAGTCGTCTTGTTCTCTTGTACAGCATGCTGGTTTGGCTCTCAGTTCAGCCTTAGCCATCTTCCTGCACCGTGGCTCTACTTCATGTGTGTCTGTTTTACTTCTAGCTTTGCTGTAAATCCCGCCTGAGCATCCAATCTCTGCCAGGCGCTCCACCTCGGTGTCTAGTCTGCGAAAGAACAACAGTTGTATCACTGAATGATCCTGCGACGCTCCACTGCACTGTAGAGACTGCTTTGGAGGTAGTCCGTTTGATACTTTGTCAGAGTATGATCAAGCCCTATGGTACGGACACATCACCTGCTTGAGCACGGAAGTGACTGGCTCTGGATCTGCATCGTATAGAGCTGAACAGACAACTGTCATCCGTGCCACCGCACGTTCACACCATGAAAGGAGCCAAGGTGGCAGCATGCTCTGGCGGAATGTGTATGGTGATACTTATCTGCAATGAAGATATGTATCCAGTTCTGGACCTCATTTGCTTGTCTGTGGCCTTTCTGTGTGTTCTGTTTGTCTCTGCAGATACATTTTGGCTGATGAGGTCAAGCATGGCATCGCTGTTATCGGCCCAGAAAGTCAGCAGCTATCTGACAGCGGATTTGAGGTGAAGCAGATTTGAGCAACCCTATTCTTTTTGGGGGAGTGCGCAAGCACATGCGCCTTTCATACTTGCTTTTCCACCGTTTTTCTAGATACCTTGTGTAAAGAAGACTATATATTTTGACATATATTTTTAAAGAATAGCTCGAGCATGCCTGCTTCACTCGAGTCCTGTACAGGTTCCACTTTGAGATAAAACTGCCATGCAACTGAACATGAAATCAAACGCCATCACACGAATACATGTACGCTGAAGTATTTACCATACTTGAAACTTGTTTTCAATCTCTTTTCGTATTAGCTCTATGTTGCAACCTTCTGCTAGGAATGCATTTAGAAATGTTTTCCAGTTTGGAAAATGAACTACCTCAACAGCCTGTGTGTATTGCCCGCGTGATTCTATGTACAGTGGATATCGGTTATAAAGTCATCGGACATAGTGATAAACCGGCTATATTGATACAAAATGAAAATATCAAAAGCAAAACCAGAAAAAGCCAGTCAAATTATCATTATAACCAATGTATCGTATATAGCGATAAATCGGCTATAAGGATACAGAATCACCATTCAAAACACCTCTTTGTGCAGAAAAATTATCGTCTATAGTGATAGCAACACACGAGTGTGAGGCATTGATGTCTCGATTTGGAGCCACATGTGTGTTTTCATAGGGTATTCTGGTCTGGTGCTTCCTGGATGATGCCTTTGGGCCAAGAAGTTCTTCACTCTAGACTGGAGAAGGTGCTGTAGCATCCATCACGTATCAGTACGCTACATTAGCGCGATCGAGTACCCACATGTGTATAATGTGTATGTATGACGCGCGCAGTTGAAAATCGCCTGTAGTGATATACCGGTTATAGTGATAAAATGTGAAAAATCAGAAGGGCACGTTATAACCAATATTTACTGTAATAGGTCTACAAAATCATATCATGTATCCAGGCATTCCAGGGTCATCGGACACACTACGGTCACTACACTCCATACCACTCTTTGTCCCAGGTACCCCGTGAATCAATAAAATGCACTGATTTGGGCTAAAAATTCAGACGACCTACCCTAACCTCCGGAGTTACATTTGGATCTGCTTTGGGCACGGCTTTCTGGTGATCTCTTTGAGCAGCTTTTTGCGTACACATTGAAGCATGTTTTTTAGTGATGCGAGGCTCTGCTGTTGTAGCACAAAACTGCAGCCAGTTACATACATTTACTCACTAGCCACCATTTTCGATTACTAATTCCGAGTACTTGAAGTAATTCGTAAGGATGTAATATGCACATGCACCGACTTTCGATACTAGTAGAGAGGTTCCGGGGTACGATTTTCCGTGCCAACATCCGTATGGGCGCTACGGATTTTTTCCAGGCGTGCTCCATACGATTTTTCGGCACGGAGAATTGTGGACTGGCTTTCATACGAAACATGTTTCGTATGGAGATTTTGCGTCATCGGGTGCAGAAAGATTTTTCGCGTACAAATTTGGTACGAGAAACAGCGATTTTCCGCGGGAAGTTTTAATTTCGGACAAATTTTCAAAATAAAAAGGCATAGCGCGGGAATGTGACGTGTTTGCAATCGTAACCTAGGCAATGGCGGCAAACACATAAGTTCCGTACCCCGGAACTTTTCACTGCTCGAAAACGACGTATAAAATATCCGTAGCACCTCCACGGATTTTGGCACGAAAAATCGTACTCCGGAACCTCCCTAGTATCTGATGGTTACACACTTGTGTACTGTACTGCTTTGCAGATTTGATAGGACTTGTTACATGACATGGTCTTTGCCACTATCAGTACACCCCATAGAAATGTGCACTGTAACGCCATTCACACCAAAGCAAAAGCAAGTACTAGTACTTGTACAATCATGTACCCAGCAGTAGGCAGTAGCCGACAACACGGAACAGTGTCTTTAGGCTAGCTCAGTGTCATACCACAGCAGCACCAGCAACTTCAACTGGCAGCAACTGTTGTACATATCATCGTTTTGCCTGCCTGGTGTGATGGGCAGTCACTGGTGACATGCTTTGGGGGCTGCATGGCCTCTTACATTCGGCGCGGGGTCGGAAGCCCCATTTCAGCCTACTGCCGCCGGCTGTGTTGACCCAGGCAGAGACATGCCTTCAGCTTTGCATGCCAGTAGGCCATTTGGGTAACGGCTTCTTGTCAAGTTTTGGATTCAACCTTACACGTGTACCACTGATGCAGACGAACACCGTAGCACTTCCCGTAGCGTGGGTGACCCTGCCAGTGACCATGAAACGTCAACGGAGGATGAGAACAAGTCCCAGGCAATTGAGCGGCCCACTGTCAAGCCCAAGCCACTGAAGCTAGAGCCAATCACGGATGACACGTGGAAACTGGTATCAAACGAACCTCACAGAGTGAAGAAAGCCGTAATCTATGTGGGCAATTTGAACTCACATAGCAGTGAAGAAAGTGTCAAGGAATTCACTGAGCAACGCTCTGCAGCAGTAAACAAACCGGTGAAGGTTCACCAGTGCAGCATACACACCACAGAAGATGGGAAAGTGTCTGCCCGCTTGATGATCGATGCGACTGACCTTGAAATCGCCACTGCGCCAAACTTTTGGCCTCGCCCACTGTACGCGCGGGTTTGGCGCCACCGTGAGCGTCCGAAGGGGGACACCTTGTCCGGCTCACACAGTGACACTCTCAGTGATGCTCCAAAGGGGGACACCTTGTCCGGCTCACACAGTGACGCTCTCTCCGAGTCCTCCGACACTCAAGCTCAAAGCTCCAATTAGATCCTTTCGGATCCTGCTGACGAACACATTTGGACTACTGAGTAAACTTGGTGACTTTCACCATGCTGTACACGTTCACCAACCTGACATTGCCATTGTCACAGAGAGCAAGCTAACCCCTGAGAAGGCTACTGATTCCGAACTGTCCTTGCCTGGGTACTACTCCCCACTGCGGAAGGATCGAACAGCTCATGGAGGAGGAGTTGCGGTTTGGGTCAAAGCCAGTCTGGCCCTCCGAGAACTCGATGACATCCAGGTCGGTAATGAGGAGCTAATCTGGCTGAGTGTCAGAACTGTGGATAAGAAGTCAGTGGCTGTGTGTGCTGCATATCGCTCTGGCTCCTGCCACGACAATGACATCAGTACCCTTGAAGCCATCAGTGCTGGCATTGACCTGGCCCGTAAATCTTGTCAATATGTGGTATTGGCTGGAGATTTTAACGTACACAACGTGGATTGGCTCGGCAGCACCAAGACAACTCATGCAGGTGTGTACACTGAAGACATGTGTGCTTTTCACTGCTTGGAGCAGCACGTGCATGAGCCCACCAGGGGCCTTAACCCACTCGACTTAATAATGACTGACCTACCGGGAGATGCGACCGTCAATACCTTAGCACCTCTGGGAAACTCTGACCATGCCTGTGTCCTAGCTGACTTTCATGTAAGTACAGCAGAGGAACCACTAGTGACCAGAACTGTCTGGCGTTACCAACGCGCAGACTGGGACAGACTCCGCCACTTCTTTAGAACAACAGATTGGCAGTCCACTGTCAGTGATGATCCTGATGCAAGGTGTATGCACTTGACCCAGAATATTCTGGAAGGAATGCGCCGATACATACCGTCTAAGCAGTTGTGCATGAAACCATCTAACCCCTCTTGGTGGACACCGGAATGCACTGAGGCTGTAGCACAGAAACAAAGAGCATGGAGGAGACTCTGCGCCGACCGGTCAAGTGCCCAGCTGCAAGCCCGTTACAATGCCGCCAAGCACTCGGCTAACCATTGCCTGGCAACTGCCAAGCAGGCATTCACAGCAAGCCTGGCGCAGAAGTTAGCCTCTGGGTGTATGGCGTCTGGTGAATGGTGGCGAACCATCAAGAAGGCCTCTGGCCACGGAAACAGCCCATCCATACCTACTCTCCGCAGCACCGATGGTACGGAGCACGACACCAACCGCAGCAAAGCAGAGTGCATGGCCGAACACTTCGCCAACAAATGCAGTCTAGGGGCAGACGACCTATCCGCTCCATTTCCTTACGTCCGACCACGTACTGACCGCAACCTCTGCACCGTCCGGTTTCGCGAAACCACAGTCGAGCGAACTCTCCGCCAGCTCAACCCCACCAAGGCCACTGGTCCAGATGGGATACCTGCCCGCGTCTTGAAAGCTTGCGCTGCAGAATTGGCACGGCCGCTTTCAAAACTATTTACATGCTGTCTTCGCTCCGGTATCCAGCCACAACAGTGGAAGGTTGCAAACGTGGTTCCAGTCCACAAGCGCAAGTCTAAATCGTCGCCATCAAACTATCGACCAGTGTCGTTACTGAGCATCCTCTCCAAGGTCATGGAGACCATAGTCAACAGGGCAATGAGCAACTTCATGGAGACGAATCACGTCCTGTCAGAACGGCAATTTGGATTCCGTCGCGGCCACAGTGCAGCAGACCTGCTGACTGCTCTCCACCACCAGTGGGTGCACACCGCCGGAGATAAAGGAGCTTCTCGAGTGCTGGCCATCGACATTGCTGGAGCATTTGACCGGGTGTCTCACACTGGTGTGTTGCACAAGGCTAGAGTGTATGGCATCTCGGGAGACCTGCATCGGTGGCTCCAAGACTACCTCTGCAACCGCACACTTCAAGTCCTCATCTCCGGCCAGACATCAGCCAGACGCCCAGTTAAGGCTGGGGTGCCACAGGGCAGTATCCTGGGGCCCACCTTATTCTTGGTCTACGTCAACGACCTTGAAGACCACCTCCCAATCGGCTCCAACCTTGCCTCATTCGCCGATGACACAACCCTATACGCCGAAATTGCAACGCTCGCTGCTGTTCCTGACAACGCTAGAGTACTCCAGGCTGCTGTCGACCTAGTATCCAGTTGGGGCTCGGATTGGAAAGTGCAGTTCGAGCCAGCCAAATCTCAGGCCCTTACAATTTCCCACCATCGTCGGGACTGGCCAATACCCCCCATTGTCTTCAATGGAACTCCTGTCGAGGAGCAGCCCTCCATCAAAGTACTCGGCGTCACGTTTGACCATCAGCTAAAATTCAGCCAGCATATCCGAACTGTTGTAGTCCGAGCAACGCAGAGACTTGGAGCCTTGCGCAAGGCATTTCACTTGCTGACTATTCCTGCCCGGCTTCGAGCCTACAAAGCCTTTGTCCGGCCGGTTATGGAGTACTGCCCAATCGTCTGGATGGGGGCAGCTCCTTCCCACTTGAATCGGCTGGACTGGGTGCAGGAGCGAGCCATCAAGGCAATACATCCGCAATGCTGGCTTCCTAGCCTCATAATTCGCCGCACCATCGCTGCCCTCTGCCTCCTGTATAAAGCCCTTTGCGATAATTCTCCCGCTCTTCTCTCGAGAATGGCTCCACCCCCGACACACCAACCCAGGACCACACGCCTCACCCGCCAGGCTGTACGACTGTCCACCGCGCATCCCCATCAGTTACAGAATGTTCTTCCTGCCAATTCCCGGAACAATGTGAGCCGAGCCTTTCCCCACTCCGTCATCCCAATTTGGAACCAGCTGCCTACCTCTATCATTCCCCACCCATTTCACCCAAAGAACATCCAAAAGTTCAAGACAGCAGCTTATCACCATCTCCTCAGAACGAACTGGCACTGGGCCACTCATAGCATACGTGAGTAAGAGGGTACAGTGTCCTACCCTGCTTGGACATACATGTAATCTCTCCTCACGGACAGTCTCCTCTTGAATTTAAAAGTCTAACAGCGTTCACATCAATATTCAACTTATTCTTTTGCTCACTGAGCAATACAATCTTTCCATTTTCTTTCTTCTGTTTTCTTTTACAATTTAATCCTCCCCACCCAATATCCCTTTGGTGCGTCCATGGAGCTGTGAAGCCGAGACCTCTGGTCGGCGGAGCTTAATGGGCCCCACCACCACACTCCATCATTCACCCCAGTGTCTGGAGATATGTGGATTTTGTAGAAAAAAAAAAAAAAAAAAAAACACTACAATTGAGTGTCTATTTATTGCCAAATGTGGGTTGTCTGTTTACTTTGTTTCCTACTTTATTGTTTCATGCAATTGGCTTTGTGAATAAAGTTGAACTCAATAAACCCGTTCTCAAGGTACGTACTTGTAGTATCCGTACATTGTTCACAGACTGGTGCTCAGGTATTTGCACATGACTTTTGTGGTGGAACAGCCTCTGGTCCCGTATGACAACTAAGTCGCTTTGATGGAACAGAAGTCTGTCATTGATTTTTTTGTTTATTTTTAAAATCCTATGCCTATGGTCCGATCGATTTCATGACCACTGCACTGCAAGCTTGCTGCCAGTGTTTTGGGCCTTGGCTTGGGGTCTCCCTAGGCCCTTTGCACCTCTCACTTCTTTCCTTTACCTAGTAGATCTACCTGGTGACCACTCCATGCAATTATTTTAAAAATCCATGGCCCATACTGGTCATAGCAAGAGTAGATTAGATTGTACTCTTGCAGTCTTGCCTCTTGGTCAGACTCATACTCATAATAGGCATAGTGTGTTCCACCAAGCCTGCTGACCGCTGCATGTGGTCAGCAAGTCCCACTCCCGGCCTGGTACATGTACATGTATTACCATGATTACAGTGGTAAGTCTACACTACAGTCTAGTCGACTACAGTATTTTTGTAGTCGTACAGAGTCTGGCAGGGAGGCTGAGGGAGCAGACCTCTGACAAGTCTGACTCTGAGGCTCTGTAGTGTTGGCCACCTGTGACCAGGTGACCTGGGTCACCCACTATGATCAACTGGCACATGCACAGTGACAAAACCGGTGACCTGCATTACATCTGACATTGACAAGATCCAAAGCGTGAGGTGATTACTCTACCGATTGCACTGCACGCGTGGTCGCCCAAAATTGTTCCCCTTTCCGTGGCCCCATCTCGATGCCGAGGTCTGTTGTCAACGAAGGCATGGTGTCAGACCATCAAACCCTATTTTTACTATGTAAACGTCGTTCATCAACGTGTTCATAGTGATCGTATGATTCTGATGTCCACGAGGACCTCGAGCATAGAACACGTGTGTTCGTGTGGATGTGGACTAAAAATATTCGATCGGACAACGCGACGCGTGCGTTCGCTTGCAGCTATCTATGGGAAGCATTTCCGAAATGAAAATTTTAATATCTTATTCATTTCGAAATACCGTAGTCGGGGCAAGTAAATTAGTTCATCTGGTTCGATGTACCTGTCGTTAAATAATTTGAGGCGTTTCCCTGTGTTGCAGTGTGAGGCTGAGCTGCCGGTCGAGCTTGAAGATTCCCAATAAAGGTCGGTGATGTTCAAAGGCTAGCGTCACTTTCACAAGAAGAAGTGCGATGGCTACTACGTGTGCGTCTGAGTCTGGCCGATGGCCTCAAAATATTGGAATTCTGGGTCTTGAAATTTACTTCCCAAGGCAGTATGTGTCTCAGGAAGATCTGGAAGTATCTGATGGAGTGAGTGCCGGAAAGTATACGAAAGGTTTGGAACAGCAGAATATGGGCTTCTGTTCGGACCGTGAGGATATACAGTCGATTTGTCTTACCGCGGTGAGCACACTGTTTCAACGCTATGGAATCTCGCCCGCTCGTGTGGGCCGATTGGAAGTAGGCACAGAGACCATCTTGGACAAGTCCAAATCAGTGAAAAGTGTCCTGATGCAGCTATTTGCGGAGAGTGGCAACCATAGCGTGGAAGGCCTGGACACCACTAATGCATGCTATGGAGGAACAGCAGCATTGTTCAACTCCATCAACTGGATGGAGAGCAGCTCTTGGGATGGTCAGTATATTTCATAGAGCTGACATGTTTTGTATCCGTCGTTGATGACTAGAACCTAGGCCAGGTGCGTAGTCCTAGGGTAGCACCGTCTTTCTGATCAGCGACATCACATGTGCATCACCAGAGTAGTAATCACGGCTGTCAAGAAGCGGCAACTTAGAAAGATGGCGTCAGTTTGAGATGGCATGGTAACCGCGCACGTGCCGTGGTCCGAGACTTGCTCATGTATGCACGCAAATGCAAGTCACAAACTCACAAAGATCGTCTTTGCATTTGGAGAAAATATCTTCGACTCTCTTTGGAGGTTGGCGAGGTTTGCCTAGTCTTTACTTGATTGCGATGCCGGTATGTCCTCTCAATAATTAGAACAAAGAGAGCTGATGATCGCTTCATTGCTGAGCAGAAGTAACAATCAACTCTCCTCATGTCCTCAGTGCCAAAGGCAGACGACTGCAATTCCACAACGCTCATTTCACGATGATGGAAACAATAATCGTGTACTAGTACACACTTGGACCATTTGGTCATCCCTATTCTAGCCGCTAGCCCGTCCAGCAAGCAGATATTGACTATTACGATAAGTACAACTGCGTGAACGAGGGCTCACCCAGCAAATTCAATTCAAGACGTGACTCCAGTCAAGAATTAGGGTCTTTACTCGAGAACTTCACAAATACAGGTCAAGGCACCCCACAAAACTGATAGATGGAACGAACGAAAGACAAATAGGCTATACAAAGTGTCCCAAGTGATTGAAAACAGCAGATCTACCAAATAAGACAGCTACATGTGCCTAAACAACGATTCCCATACAGTACAGAGTAGTATCAGGCAGAATGAAAGCCTTGGAAGTGCACAAATACAGCCACGACCGCCACAAAAATTGGACGACCGCCACAAAAACATTCTCATTGCTCTACCTCCTTGAAGGTGAAAGTTACCAGTTATCCTATAGCGATGTCAGTTTATGCCTGTTGGAACCCCCCACAGCCCGCACGAAATACCTTTCAAATAATTCCAGGATGCAATTGCAGCTCCAGACAGGAGGAAGAAGAACACCGTGAAAAATAACGGCAACGATGCCCAAACTCTCGGGAAACGGCTGAAGTCTTCCTGAAGATGTTAACATTGAATAGCCATCGATTACCAGCGTGGTTTGGTGACTTTAGAACTGTTTTGAGACTTAAAACGAAGCGATATCTCAAATTTGATGGAATTGTTACCTGTCAAATGCGTGGGCGAGCAGGCCAGCTGACATGGTTATGCATGAACATGCATGAGCATGCATTGATTTTTCATGGGTCACGTGCAGAAAACTAAGTTGCCGCGATCCAAGTGCAGCTAACAGCCGTGTAATGTGCTGTTTGGACGACAAAATTAGCAAAAATTCATGACTTCCCGGAATGCCATGAACCGGCCGGGTGCGTCATTGCCATTGGCCACACCTGAGTTGTTCTGTTGAAGAGATAGCCGTTGCTTTAAGCCGCTATGTGTAGTTCAGGGACGTTCTGCAACTTCTGGGACCTCTTCCCGCCCCCCCCCCCCCCCATACGTAGTTCTATCATGCAGACTGCATGCTTGCTGGCTAGACAGTGGGAATACATGACGCCCAGAAGATGTGTGGCATAGCAGTCTCCTTATGCTTGACTGCAGGCCGATGTTGCGATGTTATGTGTATTGATAACATAATAACACGTCCACAATTGCTCATCTCCCTTTTTTGCAGGCCGTCTTGCTGTGGTGGTGGCTGCTGATATTGCAGTGTATGCCGCAGGGCCTGCACGTCCCACTGGTGGTGCTGGTGCTGTTGCCATGCTCATAGGCCCTAATGCACCGCTGGTGTTTGAGCGAGGTAAGCCGCCAAAGCAGCATTTTGGATACTTTTAAGTAAAATATGTACACGAATGCTGCAGCAATCGGTCATGCCAAGGAGCAAACTGTTGGTGAAAGTATACGGTGCGATTCTGTTTTCATGACTGTCTTAATAGTATTCTGAAGTATGGACATTATACAATTGGTGTATGTAGGGGTGGGGGGAGGGACGGGGTATCTTACCTCTTCCTAACTGCATGGAATTTTGAGGAATACAAATTCTTTGTTCTGATTTGTTCTTTAGTACAACGGTGATTCCTGATGAGTGTTGTACGAAAACCAGTTCGAAGCATTTTTCCATCGTTCTTTCTTCCTACATGAATTTCTCTTTCCTTTTATATTGTTTTCGCACCGTTTCTGTAAACGTCTCACTTAGTCGGCTGAGGAATAATCGTCTCTTTATTAGTAAAGAAGCAGTTTTATACAGTAAGTAGAATAACAGGTGCCAAGGTTAGCTGTGAACAGTAAGTGCTAGAAGTTGCACAAGGTGTGCAACTGATAGGCGCGCACAAGCTGTGCAGTGATAGGCGCGTACATAGGTGTGCAGTGATAGGAAGGCAGAAGAAGGTGTAACGGTTACACCATCCCCCTCCTCTCGATTGTGCAATACTAGTCGTAGAAGAAATCAAATCAAGCTGCTAGAACTCAATACGATCAGGGAAAAACACAATAGACTGACATACTAAGAACACGATTCAGGATAAATTCCTTTTATAAGTTCTAAGTGGAACAATGTCTCTTCCGGACTCGTCCTTGAGAAAATCTACTCGGGTGTGCCTTTGCATACTCGGTGATCCAAGATTTCCTCGACAATGTACCTTGTGTTGCCGTCCAAATCAGTTATAGGCGGCGGGGGTGGCTGGGTAACTGGGTGACTGGATAACTGGGTAACTGGGCAGCTGGGTGACTGGGCAACTGGGTAAGGGCGTGTTCAGACTACCGATAAAAAGTGACGGAATGGAAAAGTTGCCAAGGTGATTTGATCACGTGACGTTACTGGCACGTTACCGGCGGAAAAGTTTTACTGCCGCGGCTGCTGCGGCAGTAAAGTTTTCCCGGCAGTAAAAAAGTGCTCAGGCTGCATGCGCGCTGTGAAAAAGGGAAAATCCCTTCTCAGCGCCGCGGTGAGAGGTGCAAAACTTACGCACCGATAACGTTAGTTTATCGGTAGTGTGAATGTCCTTCACGGTTTATCGGCATTCACGGTTTGGGGGGGGGGGGGGTTGCGGTAGTCTGAACGCGCCCTTACTGGGTGACTGGATAACTGGGTAACTCATGGCATCGAGTACGGAACTAACAGCGACGCAGGTTAGAGCTGACTGTATGGCCGCCGACAAGGTTTTCGGATGGTCACGAAGTACCTGTTCTCGGACATCGCCGTACAGCCCGTTGGTGAACAGCAGCGCTCTTGAGTGTTCGTCCAACTCAGGAATCTGAAGGCTTGGACAATATACCATAGCAAGCGCATCTCTTAGTGACGGCCAGTCAGGAAAGGTTTCAGCTTCCAGGGAAGAGATGAGCCAAAGGCGAGCGTTGCCTACAAGGAAACTAGCGGCATAGTTCACTTCTCTATCCGAACTGCCTAATTCCAGGCGCTTGAGAGCCAATTCGATAGCGAAAGACCACTCCTTGAACCGGTTTGCCTCGCCACCGAACACTTGAGGCTCCTTCGTACAAGGCCAACGTCTCGAGGTAGGCTGATTCTGGTTGACCGCGGCTCCGATACCCTTCCAAGGAGTCACAGGTACTGTTGTTAGCGTTGGACCGTTGGCTAATAGCCTAGCAACTCGCAGCAGCTCCCGAATAGCGGCGAAAACCAGTAAACTGAGTACCAGGAATGATAAGACAGCAGGCGTCAGAAGGAACCAGTGCAAACTGAAGATAACCATCGAAAACCATCCTCTTTGCTACCAATGTAAACGTCTCACTTAGTCGGCTGTGGAATAATCGTCTCTTTATTAGTAAAGAAGCAGTTTTATACAATAAGTAGAATAACAGGTGCCAAGGTTAGCTGTGAACAGTAAGTGCTAGAAGTTGCACAAGGTGTGCAACTGATAGGCGCGCACAAGCTGTGCAGTGATGGGCGCGTACATAGGTGTGCAGTGATAGGCGCGTACAAGGTGTGCAGTGATAGGAAGGCAGAAGAAGGTGTAACGGTTACAGTTTCCATCGCTTGACATTGTTCTTTAATAAAGTAACTCAATGTGACTTCAGCTAGTCATCCTTGTTGCGATCTAAAATTGTTGTCCCCTCGCCGATTGTACACTTGAAATTCTTTAATCCATCTTTTTTTGCCATCTTTTCGAGAGGAGTGCTGGAATGAAACAGATTTTGAAAGTTAATCAGTGACATGACACTACATTAATCAGCGACATGACACATTCTGATAATGGTTATTTCATGACCGAAACGTTGAAATAATATATATTATTATTCTGGTGAAAGGCAGTTATTGAGTGTGAGCCAGTGTTGCTCACAACCAAATTTTTACTTATGAAGCTGCGTGATGCATCCTACAAGATTTTAAATGACACATTCTGGTGTTTTTTTTAGGCATGCGTGGCACCTATATGGCACATTCGTATGACTTCTACAAGCCAAACCTATCATCAGAGTACCCCACAGTCGACGGGGCAAAGACTCTGTCGTGCTACCTGGAAGCACTCGACAAGTCGTATGAAGACTTCTGCAAGAAATCAAAACACACGCTTGGAGGTAAGGCTATGACAAATCACATTGCAAACATTGTGGAGTTGCGGTACGCGTATTTGTTTTGTGTGTTTGTTGCATGTGGTACACCATGTGAGGCAATTTGGGGCCATCACCTGTAATGTTCCATGAATCATACGGTCATGATCTGTTCTGACTTTGTGCTCTGCGCAGAGGAGTTTTCTCTGGACAAGGCTGATTTCATTCTCTTCCACTCTCCATTCACAAAGATGGTCAGGAAATCACTGGGTAGACTTCTGTTCAACGACATTGCGCGGTTTCCTGAGATGCTTGAACGTCAACCAGAATTGCAGTCACTTGCGTAAGTCGCACTGTTTAACTCAATCCGACCTTGAAAAAAGGGCTTGCAACTGACTTGACGGTGGGGAAGGCAGCCATGAAGAGATGGTCAATTTTTTCCTGCAATGCCTGTTGATCAGCTGGTATAGGCCGGAAAAGATGGAACGCAAGCAGTAGTTTCCTCTTTGATATTAGGAGAAGAATATATAGCAGCGATGCAGCATTTTACCTCTGTCTTATCTCCTTAGAAACAGTGGCAGCCATTTCCGGAGACCTGCTTCACCTTGTGTTTGTGTGTGTGTGTGTGTTGCAAATGTTCTGCAGTGGTCGTACACTGAGTGACACAGTTGGAGATCGTACTGTTGAGCAACTCCTTGTCAAGTCTACCACTGCCATGTGGAATGAAAAGACTGAACTATCGACCCTCACTGGCCGAAACATCGGCAACATGTACACTGCTTCATTGTACGGCTGTCTGGCGTCGCTGCTCGCACAGTAAGTCATGGTAGCAGGAAGAGATGATCAATACAATCGTGCGCACGTTTTAGTACTGCGGACTTCAGTATGGTGACTTGATTGATCCCTTGCAATATTTCACTGTACTTTGCCAGTGACTACTAAAGTACCTTTTCATAGTCTATTAGGATAATAGATATTATGTTGTGTTTTATTCTCATCTTGACTTGTCCGCAGGAAACCTGCTGCAGAGCTCAAAGGCCGTCGCTTGCTAATGTATTCCTATGGATCGGGTTTGGCCGCATCTATGTACTCCATCCAGTGCCGTGGGGCACCCGATGCAGCCGTAACCCTAGATGCTCTCTGTGAGAGCCTCTCGGCGCTTCCCAAGCGTCTGTTATCACGCGAACGTGTTACTCCTGAACAATATCGGGCGGTGATGGACTTGCGGCAGGAGAAACACCATGCTGCACCATATGAACCCGTTACCGATGTTGCCACTTTGTGGCCTGGTACGTACTATATTGAGAGTATCGACGACATGCATCGTCGTGTTTATAGTGTTCATGACAAGGCTGGACAGGGACACGTGTCAAACACCCTTACCGTGACCAATGGTCATTAGCAATTCCAACTGTATCATGATCAGTGTTTAGAGGTTATGAGTTTGTCTTGTACTTGCCGGGGCCGTGCACAGCGATCAACTCTCATCATTAGCAACTCACTTATACTACTTGTACTACTACTACACATGTTCACATGTTATCCTGTTTATCCTGTTTATAATTGTTAGTATGGACTCAGATGGAGAGCCAAGGTTTAATTTTTACAAAGAGAAAGACCAAGGAACTACAAGTTACGCTATACTGTCCACTAACACCACCAGTTACTAAACAATCAGCACATGCGATAACATTGCACGACACTGACGGTACTGACGTTCTACAACTAACTGACTAACAGCTCTAGCACATCTTGGATGCGCACTCCAACAGCCTTCCAACTTGAAAGGTTCTAAGTTATAGAAATAACATAAGGATGTTATCGCATGAGCTGATTGTTTAGTAACTGGTGGTGTTAGTGGACAGTATAGCGTAACTTGTAGTTCCTTGGTCTTTCTCTTTGTATAATTGTTAGTGTTGTACAAACAATCCTGTAGACATACTTTCCTGAAGTTTTCTCCCACCCGTGATTTTGTTGTTGTCCCACCGTTTTCTAGTACCACCCTTAGTCGATTTCAACTATCATTTTGAGCTTCACCTTCTTGGAAGGAATATGATCATGGAACACATCAAGTATTTATTTATAGGCACCCTTTTAATATTACGTTCTGTCCAATGTCTGTACCCGACATTCATCATGATTGTTTCACGCGCCTATCTAGCCTAGGGTTGTGGTGCTGTTCTTGAATCGCTTGCTAAGTTATTGAGGCAGTGAGCTATACGTTGAAAAGCATTGCAGAGGTGACTATTCATGCCAGTTATCACATGTGTGTGCCTCAGCCTGTGTGAACGTAATTGCTGCATTTCTTATGTGGGCCTTATACACATACATATTGGCCTGTCCCGATAGTGGCGGCAGAGCGTCATAATACTGTAGTGAGTTTCTGCTACAAGTACACGGTAAAACCGTACCAAAGTACGTATGGAAACCTCGTCGCGGTTCGAGATCAAGTTTCACACGGATTTGTTCATACCGTTTTCCATGTGAAGCGCGCTTCACACGGACTGGCCTCCGTGTGAAAACCGAGCGCGCAGAGTACGAGCTCGTACATGTGGTGGTGGTGGGGGGGGGGGGGGGGGGGTCAAGTATGCTACGCACGGCAGAACCGGCGCAATTTATGAAAAATCCGTGTCAAACTTCACTGCAGTTGACACGGAGTTTGGTACATAGTTTCCTGTAGCAGAAACTCACTATTTAAAATGGAATAAAACGTGTGACTGCAACATGTGCTGTGAAGAGAAAAATTAGAAACACGAGTGTGGAACTCTGCATATGGGTTGTGGGCAGCGGAATTTGTCGTTTAATTTTAAAAATCACTTTTGACGAGTCATGGAAGTCGAGATCTGAAATTCTACAGTTGCACTGCATCAATACAATCTGTGACAGTTTTCCCGTTTAATACATGTCAAGAAATGACGTAAATGACAAATTACGCTTTCCTCAATGTGCCACACTGTCTCGGTTGCACACTTGTAAGACTATGTAGATTTCCTGGTACTTCAGTAGTTTTGTCCACCCCTGCTTCACATCACATCATATTCCATACCACAAGATTTTGTTTTGTAGGGATTCGTTACGTATGGACAGGCCATATCCATCAAGAGTAACACAGCATATTTTTGGCATGTAACTTCAAGTATTTCGGCTTAGCAAAGCCACACAAACCACTACCACAAATAACTTCACTCAATATTCACAGTAGCTACCATTGCTAAATGACTATTAGATCTGGCCTCAGGAATAAGCTAGGGCTTGTGTCCTGCCCCCATGCACATTCGCAATGCTATTGGCACGCCAGTATGTGGCAACCGATAATGCCGTGTTTCAATGAGCAGTGAGTGGCTATGCTGCATGCAATGAGCTTCAACTCACAAATCTGTCCCTGCGGGAATTCGCGGAAAAACTCTCGAAAACTTGCGCAAGAAATTGCGCCAGAAAGCAACAAAAAATGCGACGAAAAGTGCGGAATGATGCAGAACTTGCCAGGAATTCGCGGAATTATTTACAGAAAATTGCGGATTTGGGCCAAATCACGAAATTTGTTGCATCGTATATCTACTCGGGAGTGGTCCGAGTCGTACTATGCAAATAACCTACAGGATCATGGAAAGCACTGCGTGAAAAGTGCATAAAAATTGAGATATAGTGCAGAAAACGACAAAAAAAGCGGGAAATCGCGGGTTTAGGCGAAAATCGCGAACTTGGTTGCATCCGTGGAATCGCGATTTCCTGGAGGGACAGAATCGCCACCATGTGAACATGGCAGCTGGTACTACACTCCGACTTTGGAGCAGGTATTTCCAGTGCAGGTTTCAAGAGTAGGATGCGTCAGTAAAACCAAGAGTAGATACACAAGAGTGTGCAACTCCACATCTCTTCTGCAGAAAGTGCAGATACCCTGGCCCACAGCAGAAATTTTCGTAGACGTCACCTTTTTTCAGAAAACATGACGTGTGTCGTACAGAGCAAGCATATTCTGCCCGCAGAGAAGTGTGAGAGCACGTGCTGGGCACCGACCGTGTAATGTAAAGCCCGGCCAAGGCAAGTGCACGAGGCAAAACTTCCCAAAAGACTCGCAGCGCGAGCGTCTTTGAAAAGATTACGTCAACAAAAAACTCCGCCGTGGGCCAACCCATCCGGGAGTTGCACACCCTTGTTTATCTACTCTTGGCAGAACTAAGCAGGGCAGGTATGTCGTTAGCATCGGAAACAAAAAATATATATTAACTATTGTGCAAGTAAGCCAGCACAAAGAAGAGGACGGTAAAGTTAAGGAATGAAATAGCAACGCCATCACATGCAACACGCAAATGGACTGAAAGTGGCAAATATCCATTGGCAAAATCATTAGCGTATGCAGACACAAGTCAGTTACTGTACCAGCCAGTACACGTCGTTCATACGAATCGAGTTGCCATCGCACACACTTTGGCTGTCTTTGAACCCAATTTCCTGAGACAAGTCGGTAGAGGTCCACGTATCCGCGTCCCAACTGGTTCAAAATTATTGTCCAGCAAGACACACGTATTCTCTCCGAATGCTGGATGCATATGAACTGATGCTGGGCCATAACCACGAGTTCCAGTGACCAGGGCGTTCTGCATTTTCCCTTGACAGGCTACTTTTATCCTCTCTCCAACAACAGCAATCTTTCTCCGCCTAAAAACGAAAGCACACTTGGCTATAGTTCTTGCAGGCACCGAATTGTCAATTACTCTCAGCTCAGTCAGAAGCTGAACACCTTGCCTTCTCATACACCGAGCCATGGTGACAGATCATACACGCAAAGTACTTCTTTGAAATTCTTTCTTCTTCAACTTTGGCGTTGAGGCCTAGGATATATTAGTCTACAAGCATGTACAAAGTAGACTGTATTGCACTGAAAATACTCAAAACAATGAGAGTGGTGAAGAAGATTGTTCAAACTCGAAGAGATACGTCGTGCAACAAAAAAAAGAGAGAGAAAAGAGTCATGTAACCATGGTGCTCGCATCCCATGCAGGGCCGCGCGCGCGTACACAGTAGCCGGCCGTACACAAAGTGCACACGTGCTTTTGACGGTCACCTGACACCTGTACCTGGTCAGTGGTCACGCGCACGGGATTTCGGATGATGTTTTTCTCTTTTGATTCATTCCAATGCGAAATAAAATGCATGTACATGGGACAACAAGTGCAAAACGTTTTTGAGTGCTCCACCTGAGTGGCCGGAACATTTTGGTTTGGATATTGTAGTCAAGCTTGTCGGCTACAATGTAGAATGGCTGCGGCAGAAGATTCCTCGGGTCACTGGCCAAGAAATGTTGGAATATTAGGTCTAGAAATTTACTTCCCAAGGCAGTATGTGTCTCAGGAAGAATTGGAAAGTGCTGATGGTGTAAGCACTGGGAAATATACAATTGGGCTAGAACAATGTAAAATGGGATTCTGCTCGGACCGAGAGGATATACAGTCTATTTGCCTTACTGTAGTGAGCACGCTGTTCCGACGGTACGGATTATCTCCCAATCAAGTAGGCCGATTGGAAGTAGGCACAGAGACCATCTTGGACAAGTCCAAATCAGTGAAAAGTGTCCTAATGCAGCTATTTGCGGAGTGTGGCAACCATAGCGTGGAAGGCCTGGACACCACTAATGCATGCTACGGAGGAACAGCAGCAGTATTCAACTCCATCAACTGGATGGAGAGCAGCTCTTGGGATGGTCAGTATTTATTTTTATATATTTTGTTGAGAACACAGACCTGAACAGAACAAACAAAAGAGAACGCGAAAAGAAGGTATAATAGAGAGGTTCTGCTACACGGAACTACGTACCAAACTCCGTGTCAACTGCAGTGAAGTTTGACACGGATTTTTCGTATGTTGCGCCGGTTCTGCTCTGCGTAGCATGCTTGAACTCCCCGCCACATGTACTCTGTCCGCTCAGTTTTCACACGGAGACCAGTCCGTGTGAAGTGCGCTTCACACGGAAAACGGTATGAAAAATCCGTATGAAACTGGATCCCGTACCGCGGCAAGGTTTCCATACGTACTTTGGTACGCTTTACCGTGTGGCAGAACCTCATTTAATAATAATTATTGCAAAGTACGGGTGCAGGTTGCCACAGTCTAGGTTTCCGTTCCACTTTGCAGGATCAAAATTTGAAATACCAAGAAATCAGAAAAACGCAATAAAGCGAGTGGCGCATTCAACACACGCGAGCGCGCGTGCACACACACACATACACACACACACACCATTTGCCAGGGTTAGAACTAAGATATCCTTGAATGTTTTCGTTGCCATCTCGTCAGAAGGATTTTTACTGGCAAAGCTGAATCAATCTGTAACACAATGTAAAATTCTGAAGAGGGTAATCGTTTGCCCTGAGGGTGCACCATGTCCGAACATTTCGTGAAGGAGAAGATGAGGAGAAGATTTTTTTCGCAGTAGAGACCTTTCTTTTAGTAGGCGTGTTCAGGCTGGGTCTTGTCACTTGTGTGTATTGTTTCATGTTTAATTTCCTTTTGTGTACCTCGTGCGTATTGTTTAATTTAAAATATAACACGTCCACAATTGCTCATCTCCCTTTTTGCAGGACGTCTTGCTGTGGTGGTGGCTGCTGATATTGCAGTGTACGCCGCAGGGCCTGCACGTCCCACCGGTGGTGCTGGTGCTGTTGCCATGCTCATAGGCCCTAATGCTCCGCTGGTGTTTGAGCGAGGTAAGCCGCCAAAGGAATATGTCATGTACTAACCCACTAATATTATAAAAAACCCATGCACATTATATGACATATGCTGTGACAATAGGTCACGCACAGGAGCCAAGATGGTGAAATGGCTTTTAATATAGCGTTACTAGTAACTTACTACCATAGGCAATCGAAATGGTGCTGGTTATCCAGTGTGTGTGGGTGTGTTGTTTGGGGGGGTGGGGGGAGGGTCTTACTTCTTCATCAACAGCATGTAATTCTATGAGGATTCAAATTCTTTGATCCATGTATTTTACCATCCTTCTGAAAGGAGTGCTGGCACGGAACAATTTACAAATCAACAACATGACACATTCTGGTGTTTTTAGGCATGCGTGGTACCTATATGGCACATTCATATGACTTCTACAAGCCAAACCTATCATCAGAGTACCCCACAGTGGATGGGGCAAAGACTCTGTCGTGCTATCTGGAAGCACTCGACAAATCATATGAAGACTTCTGCAAGAAATCAAAGCACGCCCTTGGAGGTAAGGTTCGAATGAATGCAGGCTTCGTGCATATGTATGCTTGTTTGTTGCATTAGGTTGTATTGCCGTGCAGGGACGATTCACGGATTGTCTGTGATATTGAACTACATGTCTGTTATAATGAACTACATGTCCATGAAACTGGGTATGGGAAGTTGTTAGAGATAAAACTATGATCTGTTCTGACTGTGTGCTCTGCACAGAGGAGTTTTCTCTGGACAAGGCTGATTTTATTCTCTTCCACTCCCCATTCACAAAGATGGTGAGGAAATCACTGGGTAGACTTCTGTTCAACGACATTGCGCGGTTTCCTGAGATGCTTGAACGTCAACCAGAGTTACAGTCACTTGTGTAAGTTGCACTTCCAGCACATGAAGCATGTATGATGAGATAGACAGCTGAGAATTGTCACCGTCTCAGAGCTCTCTTTAATAATACTAGTACCGTAAAGTTCCGCCAGAGCGCCCCGTCTCGCGAGAGCGCCCCGCCTTGATTTTACAGCCAAGGGAAGAAAATCGTATGGCAGAATGCTACTACCGTATTATCTCTAATATAAGCACGGTCCTTTATTTTTTTCAATGTACCTCCGCCCCGTGCTATTAATGGAGACGTTCCTTTATTGGAGACTGTTCCATTATTATTTCAACTACATTTCAGAGGTTGGTGCACCGCGCGATCGCGCGACTGACCATGATAATATGTACATGTACATGCAATGTGCGTACATATACTACCGTATGGTGTCCTTTATTGGAGGCCCGGGTGGTTTTCAGAGCACTTAAGGTGGCTCACGCCTATTTCAAAAAAATTAACGATTGCTCTGAAAATTTGGTGGGCGGTTGCTCTTAGGTAGTGTATGCAAATGGCGAGATAAAAAACGGGGTCTCAATGCTAACTTTTGAGATATAGGCGATGACAATTTCACGAAATTGTCAAATTTGTACAGGATTTGTGATGTATAGCGGACGGGTATTTCATCAAGAACCTGATTTACAATCTTCCTCATTTTTTGGTTATTGAATGGACTAACTGTGTACATGCCAATGAGAAAATAAAAAACATATGCTTCAATGCTCAATTTCGCCATATAGGCGCAGAATGCCTTTTTGATAAGTTTGCTTTGCTACATGTACATGCACACCTACATATCCCATGTACATGTCCATATACATCTACTCTTCTCTACTAGCCCACCCAACCCTGCAATACACATTTACACCAGTGTACACACACATACCACACACAAACACACACACACACACACGCATACATGCAAACACACACACGCATACATGCAAACACACACACACACACACACACCTGTCCTGTCGAGCCACTACCACTAGGGTCACGTGAGCCCCGGAAGGGCAGCAGAGAGAGAGAGAGAAAGAGCACGCCACCCGGTGGCGCTCCAGACACACACGCACACACACACACACACACACACACACACACACACACACACCTTTGGACCTTTGGAAAGCCCATCGCCGAAGGCGATGATAGCTATTAGGCGAGGCAGAACACACACACACGCACACACACACACACACACACACACACACACACACACACACTACTACTACTACTACTACTACTGCTACTGTAGCATGGTTGCCCAAGGGCCACACCATTCCGAAAGAAGCCGGAGTCATTGTCAGGAGCAGAAACGGAGATGACGACTCAGGTCACTCTGTCGACGGAACTGACGGCTGCAGCGAGAACAGCGGACACAATATGACGCTCTGTCAGACTTGGTTGCCCGATGGCCACGGTCGCACATGTGACGTCTGAAACCAGGCACTGACTTGAATTGCCGATTGCATGTCAAACACAAGAGAGAAGCATGGACGCTGAGCGGAATAGATGATGCCGGCGGACACTTTCAATGGTTCCAGGGGCAAACAATGATGCACACGCAGGCCACCACGAGAGTGAAACCACCTTCTGCATGTACCACACTGCACAGCACCACGCTGATCCTGGATGGGGAGACTTTGCTCTGCGCCACATTTGTGCCTTGTTTGTCACCTGGCTGGCGAAACGACCGATGGCAGATAAGACAGTCCACCCGCCAGGCAGACCTATCCTGAGCAACCTCATACCAGGCCAGACAGACACACACACACACACACACACACGCACCACACACACAAACGTGCGTGTAAACAGTGACTAAACACACACACACACACACACACACACACACAAGGCACACACATGATCGCACGCCTGCAGACCATCGCTCCAATGAAGATAAGATTACTACTTCTTTGCGTAAATATGTTTGAGATAGAGTGTCGCTCTTAGATGTGACTGATGCCATCAACCAATGTCAAGGAAAAAAATTCACGGTTCGCGTCAGACTCGGCTAGAGGCCGAGTTTTCCGCATCCGTAGGAACGCCATCATCCTTCAAGGATCAAGGCACAGATGCAAGGAAAGAATGTGTTCAATCTTCTTCTGCACACGTAGAAATAGGTTTGGGCATTTTCGATGATTTAGAATGTACGTCGCGTGAATATGACAATGTGACAGAGGCAGCCACAATTTACTGATTACTGTGCATTGATCTAGCTATATACACTGCAAGTGCACTGTAAATATTGTGTTACATGCATGTAGTAGTGAAGGGAGACAGTATACATGTACATTCACCAATGACACACCTGTCAGACAGCAGGTTAGGGCTAGTCAAAGTTATGAAGGCACAATATGCGATACGAAGGCACAATTTTGCGATGTACTTGAGTTTGTGAATATATAGTGGACTTTGTGTTCACACATACTCTACCAAATTGCCATGCACACCCTTGTAACACACACACACACACACACACACACACACACACACACACACCACACACACACACACACACACACACACACACACACACACTTGAGCCTGGGGAGCATGATTGCTGTCAGCCAGTGTTGCTTTCAAATGCGTATTCTCGTCAGGAGTGATGTGAAACACATACTGGTAAATATCAATCTCTAAAAAATGCATCCTAAATAAAACGCTCAAGCACTGAGTCTAGTCAGAGTGATAAGACAATAAATTGAAGGAATTTCTCAACAAAAACTCAGTGTACCGCTGTGATCAAGCCGTGGCAATAACTATAGTAGAGTTCTTGGTGGACAGCGATTACCATAAAGAAATGGTGAGATACTACAGTAGTACCCTCTACTGACACAATGCAACCACGTTGTCCAGTGCATGTTCGAATCAAAAATACTTTCGTACATCCGTGACCATTTCAATTTATATTCAAGGGCGACCTCCACAATCCACTGGCTTCAGAGTCGATTTATCATTATAGAACGGCCATTCTTGACAAAATAGTCAGACAAATTTTGCGAAGGATGGCGTTCTACTGTGGAAGGGACTCGCCAAGTCACTTGAACCGAAAATACAAAATACTCAGGTTTTACACATTCACGTACCCGTCTGTGCCGTCCCCCATTCCTTCCAAGACATCCACATAGACTCCAACGCTTTTATTCTACTCTTTTTCCGAAGCCGACCATGGGCATGGGCAGTGCCTGCTGGAAGGGACATCCCAACACTTCTCTGACAGGTACTAGGTGACAATTTCCACAAGTAAAAAATGCACCTAAAAAAAAGTAGCCAAGTGAAGGAGTGAAAAAAAAGAAGAAAAAAGCTCACACTCTAGACTCGAGTACGAGAGTTTCGTACTCAGGCCATCTGCTCGAGCTGGACCCTTCGAAACTGGAGTGCGCTACACGCGCTACGCCAACTCTGCATGTCTTTTCTCGAACGTAGGATGCGCGAGAACCTGCGCAAAAGACGAGTTTAGAAATAGGCGCGAGCCACCTTGGAGACTGTGCTTATATTAGAGATAATACGGTAAGTTTGTAGACCCGGGTGCTCGAATCAGAAACGATTTGACAGGTGTGCAATTTCTCATCTGTAAATCTCAACAATGTCAGAATATACTTTTGGAGAGGCGATGGAACAGGGAAGAGAGTCTGGCTTGACCCACCCAGCAGGAATTCAGAACCTGGGTGCGCTACAACACAAGCTACAGTACGCAGTAAAATGGTCGTATTTCCTTCGGATTTTTTATTTGAAAATTGGGTGCTCGAATCAGAAACAGCGAACTCGTCAGATCGTCTCCGATTCAAGCACACGGGTCTGCCATCGTCTACGCTTGGTGTGGCAGTTGAGGGCAGGGAGTAGTAACTTACTACTTAATTTTTGAGAGCAAGATGGTCAGTGGAGCCGCAGATTCAGCAGGTCTTTGGCAGCACCGTACAGGAGACCCATATCGTCGAATCAAGGACCCAGCAAAAAGTGGGTCGCGAGTATTTCAAAAAGTGTTTACCGGGCAGCGCTGAAATTTGGCATACCGTTAGCAGGCCGTATGTTGATGGTATTTGTAAAAACTAAACGAAATCGGAACAAGTTTAGGTACAATTTCAGGGTGTTTCTGTTTTGGTACCCTGTGTCTCATTCGAGCACCCGGGTCTACGGTGTGAGAACCTTAGTGTACTAATAAGTGTGAAGTACGGTGACTTTTGGCATGTTTTTATGTGGACCTCAAAGGTAAACTGGGTACAGATTGACTGCACAACGTGCAATGTGTGTACAAGGTCCGTGTCGTATGACCTACAGCCAGGAAACCACCTCCACAAGACGACAGCGAAAGGACGAGATGGTGGGGCGCTCTGGCGGTACTTTACGGTCATAATGTACAATTATTGATACCTACAGTCCATTTCAAAACTATAGACGCGTACCTAGGCAAAAACCGTTATGCCAGCATCTATACCACATAAAATCTGTGATCACTTTGTGCATAATTTTTTCCAAATTGGGCGTCTGTTATCCAATCCTTTAGAAACTATATGAGAGTAATTGTGGAGCGATCCTGAGCAATATTCCGAAAACTATTCTCAAAAAGTTCCAGCCAAATTTGAAATATTTCAAAAACCCTACGCGTCTATAGTTTTGAAATGCACTGTAATGGCCTTTTTATCTCGAATGGTTCTTTGCAATCTCTATCACAATTTGTGTGTAAGTGTGGCCCGGTTGTGTGTGAACTGTCCTGGCGTGTGTTGCAATTGTTCTGCAGTGGTCGTACACTGAGTGACACGGTTGGAGATCGTACTGTTGAGCAACTCCTTGTCAAGTCTACCACTGCCATGTGGAATGAAAAGACTGAACTATCGACCCTCACTGGCCGAAACATCGGCAACATGTACACTGCTTCATTGTACGGCTGTCTGGCATCCCTGCTCGCACAGTAAGTCATGGTAGCAGGAAGAGAGGCACGTGATACTATATCTTGCTGCTTAGCACTGCAGACTTCAGTATAGTCAAGTGGATGGTACTTCAAATCTTTGACTGTGCGTTGGCTGTTACTACTGAAGTACCTTTCCATAGTCAATCAGTGTAATAGTATGTTGTGTTTTGTTCTCATGTTGAACTGTCTGCAGGAAACCTGCTGGAGAGCTCAAAGGCCGCCGCTTGCTAATGTATTCCTATGGATCGGGTTTGGCTGCATCTATGTTCTCCATCCAGTGCCGTGGGGCACCCGATGCAGCCGTAACCCTAGATGCTCTCTGTGAGAGCCTCTCGGCGCTTCCCAAGCGTCTGTTATCACGCGAACGTGTTACTCCTGAACAATATCGGGCGGTGATGGACTTGCGGCAGGAGAAACACCATGCTGCACCATATGAACCCGTTACCGATGTTGCCACTTTGTGGCCTGGTACGTACTATATTGAGAGTATCGACGACATGCATCGTCGTGTTTATAGTGTTCATGACAAGAGTGGATTCAAAGGCGAACAGGGGCATGTGCCGAATAATCTCACTGTGCCAAATGGCCATTAGCTATTGTGCCTTTAACTGAGTGGACATTTGCACATACAGTAGTAGATTCAAATAATATTTGAAATCTTCTTTGAGGTAGATCTACTAATCCGTTTGAGCTAAATCATCCTTGATGAAACTTTACTTCTGAAGTAATCATGAAACACATTGGATATGTATTCTATATGCCTGCTCTTGTCGTCTTCTCTCTCTTTTTTTTATACTGTTGTCTTTCTCTGCCCGTATAATGTTTTAGTCACTGCGTCTTGTTTCTCTGCCGCTGTGGACATTGCTAATGCTATCTGACACTTTCATTCATGGAGTAGTAAAGTACCTGCTATTTTACTACTCCCTGCTTTCGATCAAGTTCTCTCTTGTCTTTGGAGCCTGCCAATACACTTGTAAAACTGTGAAACGGCTAGTAGCTGAATACACCAATATGTTCAGGTCTGCTTACAAGAAAATGAAAGCTGGCCATCATGTACTTTGAGAAGGGGTCTATTGACGTATTGTCTTTATTCACTGTTAAAGCCTGAAAGTGTGAGACCATAATAAAGTAAGAACTAAAGTAAAGCAAAAAAAAAGACAATGGCTATAATTATATAGAGCACTCAAAGTGTACTGCAATATACAGCTGTACATGTACTCAGTAAAGCGGCGTGTCCGAAATCAGAGTTCGAGTACATGATTGTCCTACACTACAATGAGTAGAATCAAGATTCGTTACTGTACTTGTTAGTCATCTTTACTGTTCAATCCACAAAATGTGATATAGAAAGTGAAGAACCATCCGAGGTAAATAGCCATTAGGGAGGTTTCGCTCTACGGAATTACGTATGAAAATAACGTAGGAACTGCACGTAATTTTCATACGTAAAAATCAGAGCTGTTGGGTTTCGCTCTACGTGATTTCTCCACGACTGCTAAACATGCCTTGTTGCTTTGGAGACGCGTTGGCTGCATGCGCCCACCGCATGCACCACGAACCGAAACCGCGTTTTCCATCGTATTTTGCACGTGCAGCGTGGTGTACGGTGTGTGTACACTTGTATTTCGCGCGGCTTGAACTTTGCCATGGATAAACCCTGAAAATGTGAAAAATATTTCAAAAAGTCCTACGGAGACCCCAACGTAGGAAACAGCTTTCCTACGGATATCCGTAGAGAGTTTTACGTATGAAAGTTGCCCTCGCTCCCCGGCGTGTACGACATACGGATTTTCATACGTAATTACGTAGAGCGAAACCTCCCTATTGTATTGAAATTACCAGACTCATTATTACTTGTATGTAGTATCAGTTCTGACTCTGTGTAAAAAAAGTTCTAAAAACAGAAAAGGGAACTCTTGACAGTCTTGTGCAATCTTGATCCAAGACTGGAGTCTTGGTAGAATCGACAAGACGACATGCATGCGTGCAAACTCGTGCATCCAATGATCCATGCAGTGGCAGTGTCACGGCTCGCGGAGCTGCGCAGCTAGCTGTGACCTGGTGACTGACACAGTGACAGTGTTACTTATCAGCATCAGGGAGTCGTAGACTCGTGCACGTAGTCAAAAATACCTACAACTCCGCGATCCGGCAATACTATAGTATGATGCTGTGGTTGGCTTTCGCCGACGATTCTGGAAGAAGTATGCAGAACAAGTACAACTGCTATCTAGCTTAGCTAACTTACTTGGGCAAGCGACGAGCCGACGGTCATAGCAGTCACGACGGTGGAGAGCCGCTGAGTCGGACGCATTGTGTTGGGAGCGGGGCTCCGTCATGGCCTCCAAAGTGGACCATAGACCTACCTTTGCAGCGCTCCCCCGCGCCACTTGTCCTTGTTACTGTTTTCCCCCTGCTTAGTGAGAATTTCAAAATAGCTGTTTTGTTTTGGCGGCAGCTATAAAAATCGCCGGTCGTTACACATTTAGGCTTCAGTTGATCCTGGTAATGTATTTTTGCAGAGAAAGCAAAGCAGTTCGTTCAGAATGTCGTCGGAATTCCTTCTCGGAGGTGTTGCAGCGGCTAGCTCAGCTGTACTAACCAATCCTGCCGAGGTGGTAAAAACTCGATTTCAGCTGCAGGGCGAGCTTGAAAATGGACGCCAGCGCCCATACCGGAATGTTATTCAAGCGGCATTGGCCATCGGCAAGCACGAAGGAATAGCCGGACTACAGCGTGGCTTGGCAGCAAGTATGGCCTATCAGTTCGTTATGAATGGCTTGAGATTTGGCGTTTACCAAGCGTTCGTCGAGCATGGTGCAATCCACAGGAGCGATGGAACAGTCAGCGTCCCTAGGAGCATAGCGTTTGGTGCTTTGTCCGGAGCAACAGCTGCGTGGATAGGGAATCCACTGTATTTGGTAAGTCCAACACAGCCGTAATATGAAGAAATTTATACAGAACAATTATAGGATATTTCACACTAGCAAACCCTGTCACAGGACCCCCCAGAGGGGGACCACCGTTACTTCGTTAGGCCTTCGGGTCACACTACGTCAGAAAAGCTGTTCCAGCATCTGAATCATAAGAAAAGTTTTCCATGACAACTGACAAAAAGGCAGGAAAACGAGCGTCAGACGCACCAGCTTATGACGCGAGCAAATCGGCTGCGTTGACGCGGCTGTGGCTGCCTGAAAGGCACTGCAGTGTCTTTGAAACATAGCACACTGTACTGTGCTGTATCATAGCGATTTGGTTCGCTACAAAGTGGTTTTGTGAAGTGCGTCGGGTCACGGCAGCAAAAGCACAAATGCAGTGTGACTCCACGTCAGCGTAACTTGACGTAGTGTGACCGAAGCCTAAGGCACTGCCTGCATCTGCCGCTGGATTTACCAGGTGTTAGCGGCCGTCCTGAGTTTGCTAGGGAACAGACACGATATTTACTCTTTTTACTTAAAACTTTTGTTTAATAACATGACTCAACAAAACCTGCAGCAAGAACTGCGATTTTGATCCTGGATTTACCAGTGGACAGGAACTTTAGCAAAACAACACCAAACTTGCGCATGCACTTGATTACAAGCCTGGGGAAGGGGGCAAGAGACAGCTCTATTTTTTCCTTCGCACCGCTCAGAGACAGGAGCACCGTTCAAGGGAGGGCTCTAATCTCGCGAGTACGGTTTCCGTACCATCATTTGCACCCTGTGGAGAATGTGATGTATACGGATGTCCGTGTCTGTGTGCATGTACAACGTTGCACTTGATGCATTTCTCTCTACTTGCCTTTGCAGTCCCAACAATAGTCTGGTGTAGATGGACAAGCAGAGCAAAGGCCCCGAGAGGACTCTTGAAGCTCTCTCATTTGCCTATATCTGTGTGTATGTATGTCCATCACGGCGTGTGTGTTTGTCGTGTGTATGTATATTTGTGTGTGCCGTGTGTGTGTTTCATGTTCGTTTGTTTGTGCAGTGTGTGTGCGTGTGTGTGTGTGTGTGTGTGTGTGTGTGTGTGTACGTGTGCTGATGCATGTCCAGGTTAAAATCAGAATGCAGTCGTCCTGCTCAGCACCGCACCTCACTGTTGGCATGCAGCACCACTACTCCAACATGTACATTGGACTACGAGATGTTTACCAACGGCAGGGTCTCGCTGGCTTGTGGCGAGGGGCCCATGCATCTGTACTGCGTGTGTCGGTGGGTTCTGCCGCCCAGCTATCAGTCTTCTCAAAGTCAAAGGATGCTATTGCCCGGGCACTGCGTGTCTCACATGACAGCCACCTCGTGTCATTTCTCGGCAGCTTTATATCTGGCTTCATGGTTGTCTTCATTATGCACCCTTTCGATCTTGTGTGCACGCGCTTTTTCAATCAGCCATCACGCGGTGCGTTAGCTGGCAGCAGCTCAAGGCAATACAGAGGAGTGATTGACTGCTTTCGGTCTGTGGTGACCCTGGAAGGGATGCGCGCGCTGTATGTCGGCTTCTGGGCTGGTTACGCTCGTCTGGCTCCACATACTTTCCTCTGCTTGTTCATCTGGGATGAGCTGCGGCTGTGGACGAATCGCTTCCGATGAGTGTGGTTGTGAATTTGTAGGGATATTCCCTGGTACCAGAGTATGGGCATTACCAACCTTCACTTACTTTATGACATTATCCTGAAGAGATAGATATACATATCTGCCCTTTGTTGATACAGGGACTGGAGGTGCGCAGATCAAGATGTTTGCACTCATAGGTCAGAGTCTATTTTGCTTGTATATACAGTATCAGATTTACATGGGTGTATCGTAACTGTACCTGGTTGTACGCTGGACAGACTATGAGTGCCTTTCAAGCGGTGAATTAGCACAGCGGTGCAGCAGCGGAGCAGCGGGGCAACATTATCAAGTATGTCTTGATAAACCATAATTATTTTACCGGACTGAACGTCCCCCTTGAGTTACTTTATTCTACACTCTCATTATGAGCCTTTGGTGAGCTTTCCTTTACTTCCTCAAGTTTTCAAAGTTGATGTGCTTTTAGAAAGTATTCAGAACTACCTTCAAAGTACCTCAGCATATGCCTCTTTTTTAATATTAAAGTTTCTATTCCTTCTATTCCACAAAGGCCTTACTCTCATCTACTATTACCAAGAGTACATAACCCCCCAGAGTGTGCAACGCCTGATTCAGCTCTGCATAGGGTCTTGGTCGAGCGTAATCGGATCTTTGCGTCATAATACCGTACACATCTGAGGGGAACCCGGGGAATCGCGGGTACTCTCGGATCAAAAACAACGGTGCCCTGCCTCGAGACCGGCCTTGCGCTGGTGTGGAGTGTACGCATGACATCAGAAGATCCGATTACGCTCGACCAAGACCCTATGCAGAGCTGGATCAGGCGTTGCACACTCTGGGGGTTATGTACTCTTGCTATTACTACACATGCTTCTAATATTACTATCATCAAAGTGGCACGACCATGTTCGATAATACTTTTATTATATGATGCAGTGGAATGTACGCACCCTGTGTGTATTGTGTGTGTGTGGGGGGGGGGGGGGTATGTGCTCCAGTCAATTCCTTCTTCTCGAGTATCGTTTCCACTCTATGTGCATACCGGTAGTACATGCACAGTAACATTGGATGCCGCAGAATAAGAGTATCCTCTTCAGGCTGGTGCTGTTCTTATTCTCATTTGTTGCTTGTCCTCTGTGCTTCTACATTCATCTGTTCCCGGGGAAAATTGCGGAAAAAAATCGCAAAAAACGCGGGGAAAAACGCGGCATAACATGGCATAATTTGCGGTAAATATGCGGTGAATAATATTGATGTGCGGCAGTTTTCAGTGAGTATGTAGTGAAATCAATCAGTTACAAGTCTCTGGTGTAAGCACTCGTCATATTTGAGTAAAAAGCCGCCACGATGAGACGTTGCTGACCAAACAGTGCACTGTGTGTACGTGTACTGCTACAAAAAAGTTCAAAAAACGTGGGAAAATCGCGGAAAACGCGGTCTTTTAAAAATCGCAAAAAACGCGGAAAAACCGCGGCCGCGGAATCGCAATTTTCTCCGGGGACAGATTCATATTGTGACATTGTACAGTTACATGTTGCACTTAGCCCTACATGAAAAACACACTGGTGTTCCGAAATGTTTGCTTCCAGCCCGGGTATTCTTCGGCATGCAGCCCACTCTTCGGCACTATAAATTATTGTATGTTCGTAGTTCAGCACACGAAAACCACTATGCACTATCTTCTCGATCACTGCCAACTGTGTCACTTGGGATGGTTGTGTGAGTTGCTACATCCTCCAAACCGGCATGCATATTATCAATATCGCTGTCATCAGCATTGCAATGGGTGCATGCATTTTGGTTACTGTAAAACCGGAAAATTTCGGCGGAGTTTTATTTTAGGTAACTTCGGTACAGGTAATTTTTACCTAAAATAAAACGCACCGAAAATAT